AAGCGCAGTTTGGCGGCTGAAAAATGACTCCGAACCCAGGATCTCAATGTTGCCGGCTGAACCCAACCTCAGTTAAACACCAGGCTTGGGCTTTCATCCATCTTAATCCTCACAGGGACCTTTATTTTCAGAACAGGTTATTTTAAAACGGCAGTTAATAAAATAAAGAACAAAATGAACTATGCGTTTTCCACTTCCTTCCAGAACGATCTCCCCTTCCGCAGAATCCCTCTAGAGCTCGCTCGCGCACCTGCTCACGTAGGGTCCAGGGACGGTCATTAATGTGCTCCGGCAATATCTCGGGCTGGGCATAAATCTCAACGGTCGGGCCGCGCGTACTATCGCTCCGTCTAATTAACGATGGGAGAGCAAAGCAAAGCAAGTCGGCCCCGCCAGTCCTTCCCCCTCCCCCCCACCACCAAAGCCCCCTCACCCCACCCTGTCCTCGTTAGCGAGGAGTCATTATTTCCTGCGCCATTAAATCGTGCTAATTAGCGTTGCCGGATGGATTTTACAGCCACCAGCTCCGGCGTCGTGAGCATGACAATGCCGTTTAATGTTCTCATTTATTATCCATTTTTTGGGGTCATTTTCCCCAAATGTAATCCGATTACGGCTTCGCATCGCGAAAAGAGAAAACGTGTCCGCGTGGGACTCTCTCAGTGAGCAGTGCATCATCCTGTGCTGGCGACATGAAGTTAGGATATTGTAGATCCATTCTTTGCAAGATCTCCGTGTTTCGGATGTTGACTGCAAGGTGGTTGTCAACACGTTTGGTTCCCCTCGATCGCGAAGAAAGGGGGCCCTAATCCAACGACACTTGGTCAAGATGTTGGTGCTTGAAGTGTCTAGCCAAAAGAGCCAGGATGATATGTCGATGGAATAGAATAATCGGCAACGTTCACTTTGTTATCAATCACTCGGGCCCCTTTCAATGGCAGCTACGTATGTATGTATGTTGAACTGCTTTCGCACCGTACGTAGCCAACTGTGCTGATCGGAGGTGCGGGGGAAGGACACACAAAAAAAGCAGTTTGAAAGAAATGAGTTTTCACATCCTGCTTGCTGAAGGCAAAAACAACTCCCTACGTGGCGCTGCCAATGCGACGTGGCAGATGAGTGTCAATGATGTCACCAAAGCCCCGAACATCACCTCCCGTTCAGCGACACACGTGGGGACAGGGATTAGACTTTTATTTCATCGTTATCCGATTAGTCAATCAAATGTAATTGGTAATCTGTTACTTGATAATTGGAGAGCCGAGCTCTGTTAGACCGTGTCACACATTTTTCCCAGGGTTGGTTGAGTTTACTGAAGTCACTGGAATATTAATAATCATGATTCATAACGCGGATAAAATTCCTGCAGTGCGTCGATAACACAAGTCAGCGGGGTGGAATAGAAGTCATGGTTTTGGTTCTGAAACCAGGATTCGGCCACAGTAATCCATGTTTCCATCACGTACACATCTCTGTCCACCTATTATTATTATGATTGTTGACCCAGGAAAGCCTTAGTTAACAACAACAGCATCCGCCATTCGCCACAAAGTGGCGGTGACGTCACCACGGCGCCTGTGCCAGGCCACGTGCACTTTGAGGCCACGTGAAGTGTTGAAGGCTCACTGACAGGATGTTCCGGGACAGACCCAGGTGCCGTGGGTTTGACAGACTTAGTCTGGTACTTCACTACAGCCATAATTAGGCGACTCCTTCATTTCCCGCTGACAGCACGAGACAGCCAGTGCTCATCTTCCGGCGTTCTTCTAACCCCTGGCTCATGGCCGCCTACACAACAGACGAGACCTGTCCCGCAATCATTTGAGCAGGCAGACCCTTCAACGTTCACAATCACATCCCAGCATATCGAATTGCTTTGTGTAACTCCCGTGTCCAGGTCTGACAGGCAAAGCGCAGTTCTCTGGGGAAGCTGACCGGATTGTCTCCGCTGAATTTAACCGAGGATCACGATGGTTCACCGTGTGGTCTCCACATTTGCATATTCCCCCGTCGCAGGCGGCAGATTCCTCCGCTAAATTGCACAGATACGGCATTTTGGCCGTCCCGTCATTAGCAATTCTACTTGGAGTCATGCCCTTTTAATTGCTCAGCCGTTGGTATTTTTTTTCCTCAATAATTGAATGTGCAGTATCTTTAAAAAATATATATATTTTTAGATGTTTTGCTGTCTACAAGAACGACCGTTTTTCAGTCCTAAAGATGGAAGAAGAGTTTCCGACGCCATGTTGGTCTTGGAGGTTTTTTTTATTTTACCATACTTCACCGCACTTGTCAGTGCACCGGACCGGTTCGGATATCGCTGCCCAGCGACATAAACTATGCACGGGATTCTGTGTGCCATCACGCCAGAGGTCGCAAACGGGTTTTGATTCCTTACCCGTACCCGGCCGCACCAGGGTCGCAAATGGGTACCCGTACCCGTACCCGGCCGGGTAGCCGTTCCCTACCCGTACCCTACCCGAAATGAGTGACAAACGGCTACTCACCAGTGACTCACGGCCTACCCGTACCCGTACCCGGCCGCACCAGGGTCGCAAACGGCTACCCGTACCCGGCCGGGTACGGGTAGCTGGGTATCGAGTAGGGTACGGGTATCGGGTACCCGGTTGCGACCTCTGCATCACGTCCTCTACGTTCTCAATCTTTGCTATCTCACCCCCTTCACTGGAACGAACTTCCCCCTCTGCATTAAGCAGTCAACTTCGCTCACTAGTTTCCACTCCTCACTCGAAACTCGCTTATTGTTCCCGAGCTCACCCTGCGACGCCTTAATCCTGTCCCCTCTCCGCGCTCTCACGATATGGCTATCACTCATTGGTTAAGGCGCTATAGAAATTACGTTAAGAAAAGATGAGAATCAAACTCGGTCACCGGGGTTCACGGTGGCGCAGCGTGCTACTGCTGGGCCATCACTCCATCCCTGTGGCGTTAAAAGGGTTAAATTGTGAGATATTATTTATTTTATTTACCCGGGAAAGTGTTTGTGACGATCGCACGTTGATGTGAGGAGGCTGTCACTGTCTTAAGGCTCCTTTCTTCCACCTCGACACAGGAGACTCGCACAATCACAGCCGACCGCATTCCCAATTAATTTCCCCTCCTGGCACCCCTGACGAACCAAACAATGAATTAATAATGCATGCAATTGCACTTTACTTATATATGTTTGCATACATGCACACGTACATACATACATACCCACACACATCCCGTGGAGCCATACAGACTGTTGGATCAAATGTTCGCGAGCACCCATTCAGTCTGGCACAAAGCACCAGGGGGTGATGTGTTCAGCACTATACATTGCCGCATTTCACTTCCCAATGCTGCCGTTTATACCCCAGGTACTCAGAATTAGGGGAGGCAGAAGGTTGGTACAGACAATTGTCACTCTTGTTGGCCATGAGCAGAAATCTAACTCGGGTTCGCCGGGTTCGTAGCACAGAACGCTAACCACTGCGCCACCGCTCTCCCCCCCCCCCCCACCCAAAAACTCGCTCACAAAACAAAGATCCCCTGTATAATCTTAACAGACTGTTGGGGCAAGTGCTGTTAGCGAGCACATCTGAAGGCCAGCACGGCACACGAGGGGTGGGTGGCCAACACCACGCCTGGCCACCTTTGTCTCCCTAGTGGCGATGTTTACACATCCCACCAGTTACTCATTTGAGGTTGAAGTCGACCTAGGGGAGGCCCAGGACCGGTTCAGATAATCGTTATGGTTTGCCGTGGACGGGAATCGAACCCTGATCGCCAGGTTCGTAGGGCAGCGCGCTAACCGCTACACACCCACAAATGTGCATATACACCCACCCACATTCACACACTGCACGCAATGAGTCCATGTATTGCTTGTAAGTTTGTACACGCGAACAAGCAGTCTTAAGCGCCATTATCATTGTGAATAATGTGAGCAGCTCACCGAAGAATTCGTGCCAAACACTGACCCCACTACCCTATCTGTAACGTAGACATCACAAATAATCGGGATTGTGTCGGTACAGCAGTTTTGGAAACCTTGTGTGGATTGTAATTAAATATCTCAATCGTGTTAATAATCTTGAATGCGTCGATTATTCGGGAGTAATGCTAAATTCTACGCGAATGTTTATTAAGGATAATGGAACAAAGTAGACTCGGCAGATGAGACAGAACAAAGGCCGTGCTAATAAAAGACAAAACAATATTCTTGAATGGAACCACGGGGTGAATTGTTGTGCATGCCTAATGATAATTATTTGTATTATTCTGCTTTTTTCACCCAGGAAAGCCTCACAGGAGTCCCAAGACTTTCTTTCAGGATAATCCTGCCAAGCTTTCTCAGTCGGATTTCCCAATAGTCATTTAAGAGTCATTCTTAAAAAAAAAACATTGCCAAATTTCAATCTTGACGCCAGTACATGATGGCCTCCTTTTAATGACGTTACGGGATCTTTAACGTACGTTGTGAAGCAGACTGCACGTATCCACGCTTGTATCACCCGCAGTTTTGAACCGCATTACCTCCGCAACGAGCGGCGATGGCACATTCGCTGTGCCATGATCGATGTGGTGGCGATCGTTACAGTGGTGCTGCGATGACCTCACTCGCGACTTGTACTCGCGAGCACACATTCGGCGACCACCGACAGCGGCTAAAATGTAAAGGTGCAGCCCTGCAATTGCTCACTCACGCCGCTGCTGGCAGAATGGCCACGCCAAGAGGGAGCTCTGGAGAGCCCTTGATAAGCTACTCTCTATACTGCAGTCTGTAACGTACACCACGGTTAAGTCATTTCACGGCTGGGACAATCGAAGGTGGAGCCCGCGCAGAATGTTAATGGCTCTGTCCTCCGATCGTTAGCCGTTTGTTTGCCGGTGTGTGGCTAACGCCGCCGTGTCCGTATTTACACCGCTCTCCTGCCCTCTCTCCTCCCCTTCCTACCCCCTTCAATCCCCCCCCCTCCGTCTACCCCCCACCCCGCTCCACTCCCGCGTAGGAGGCCATGGAGCACAGTGCGTGCAGACGCCTCTTCATCACGCGTGTCTTGCAGACAATGGAGGCTGACGCCTTCTTCCCAGACATCGATGCTGACAAGTTCAAGCTCCTGCCGGGGTGGGTGGCTGCGTACGTGCGTGCGTGGGCGTCCTCGCCAACGGAAATGTCACAGCGTCTTCTCCCGGGCCCGAATGATAGTCTCAAAAATTGGGTGGTGCGGGCCCTCCCACTGGAGGCAGTGAGCCAGTGCTGGAAATTCAACGTTCCCGTGACGGGAGCCGGTCATATTGTTCCGTAAGATGAGCACCGTTTATTGACCCTGCGCCAAGTGATGTAGTGTCACCATTCGGTGCTCGTTTTAGAGACCACGAGAGGGATGATGGTGGTGATTGATGATGATGGTGGTAGTGGTGGTGGCAGTGATAATGATGATTATAAATTGATGGCAGTGATAATGATTTACAATTCATGACAATAACGAATGAAGATGATGATTGTTGGGATGATAAACCCTAATTAGGAGCCAATCATTTGAACAAACATTCAAACATTTAATAAAAGTGCATATGATGGCCCAACATTTAGATAACTTAAATAAAAACCATTCTAACACTCACGGGGAACGCGCACCGTTACAACGCGGAACGCGCACCGTTGCAACGCGGTTTCTGAGTGGTCGACGACAAAATACTTTCTTGAGCTGCGTGGCCGAGTGGTACGATGCAGTACGCGGAGTGACGCGGTATGCGGCAACGTGTACCCTTAGTTCTTCTGCCATCTCATTGCGCGTGCGTGCGTTCGTGCGTACATCAGTATCTCGCCAAACTTTATCGTCGTACTATTTATGGGGAAACTTGTTTTCGCCGTACGTGTTTTTCGCATTGACGCGGCACTTTTCAGCAGCGCGCGTCTCTAGCGCGTTAAACGAGGTCCCGCGCCATCGGGTGATTGTTGAAGGCGGGCCAGAGTCAAATTGACGGAAGAGACGGCGGGAACGGGATGGAATGATTTTGGAAAGCGTCATCTGGTGATGAAACGCGTTTCACCGGATGGAAAACATTCTGATTCATAACGCTATGCCGCCACTTTACTCCCTTTCGTTGGACGTCTGTGTAATAATTTTATTTAATAATCTCATTGATTCTGGCAGCTTTTACACTTTGTCGTACTGTGAAGGGCAGTGATTACCCCTTCACATGTGACATCTGAAAAATCCCACTGCTCACCTGATATATGTTTTGGTCTTCTGAGGTATGTGACTTTTGTTGCCTTTAAAAATCTGCATATATTTCTTCTACTTATTTCATGATTCTCTTGTCACGTGTTACAGTTCAATCTTGCTCTCTAAGGCTTACTATTTGCAATTTTACCAATATTTGACTTCCTACTTGCTGCTTTAATGTCTCCGTTATATTTGTTTGTTATTAGGTAGCATTAGTGAATGCCAGAGGTGGTGTTTGTAATCAGAAAAAAATAAATTTCTATTCCCCCCCCCCAAAAAATATATTCCACGTCGTTTGCTTTTGGTATCAAGAGCTCCGGCATTTCGCAGTATACCACACCCCATGCGAGGTAACATCCTGGAAAGTTGATGTCCCAGAACTACATCTGACGTCGCTTAAATTGACCTCTCTATCCACACTGGGGGCACAGCTATTATATGCCCTGCAAAAGAGTGTGCATCAAATGTCAAATACAGTTCATTTATTTACATTTCCTGAAGAATTATACTGAAGTGATTTTTTTTTTTATTGAGGATTGTTCCATGCACTCAGTGGAAAACCAGGCCAAAACCATCAACTCTTTCCACTCAAAAACCCCAGTTTAATTACAACCCTGGTCTATGCCCGTTTATGGGTCTCTGGGCAGGTGTATGGGTCTCTACGTGAGTTGATGGGGGGGGGGTCTCTGAATGGGGAGTGGTGGTGTAGCGGTTAGAGCATTGCGCTACGAACCCGGCGACCCAAGTTTGATTCCCGCTCACGATGAATAACTGGCAAATATTTGAACTGGCCCTGGGCCTCCCCTAGGTCGACTCAGCCTCAGATGAGTACATGGTGTGGTGTGTAAACATCGACAATGGGGAGACAAAGGCGGCCGGGCGTGGTGCTGGCCACCCACCCCCTCGTGTGCTGTGCCGGCCTTCATAGGTGCTGGTCGCTAACGGCACTTGCCCCAACAGTCTGCTAAGGCTGTACGGGGGATCTTATTTTTTTATGGAGGTCTCTGTGTATGTCAATAATGACCTGGCCAAGACTCTCACCTCTGCTCTACACATGAGAACCCGGTTTAATCACGAACCTGTGTCTGGTTCACGAACCACGGTGCCAGCTCCTACAGAGCCACCCAGCCTCCTCGCAGCGGCTACAGTCCCCGCTCGCGTGACATTTCTGCCGAGCGTTCTGCAGCGCAGAGGTGCCGAGACATTTACAGCAGCAGGGTGGGAGGGGGGGGGTGGAGGTTGACCCGGCTGTCTCGGCTTCTGGGAGATAAAGACGGCAAGGTGGGGTGGCGAAGGGGGTGGTGGTGTGAGGTAGGGGGGAGGGAGGGAGGGGGATGGTTGCGGGTGGACAAGCAAGGAAGTGGCTGCACGAGGAAGGCTAAATTTAGACGACACGAATCACAAAGGGAGCTGGCGATAATTAAATTTGCATTCCCCTGTCGAAGCCTAGTTTCTCCTGTGCCCTGCTCTCTCTCTCCTCTTTCTCCCCACCCTCCCCCCCCCCATCCGGATTACCTCTCTCATCTCCCCGTTTAACTCGCGAGCTCGCATGCTCTCTGCCGTGCCGTGTTAAGCGATCGACGTGGCACGCTGCTCCTGTTCATTGTTGTTGTTGTTTGCCTTGATTTAATTACGCATCGACGCCATTTATTATTTTTCTCTGTTGCTCCCGGAAGCTTTTTGTAATCGCCCGGACTGTGCTCAATTCATGAGGTCTCCGAAGATAAGCACGAGTTGAGCCTGGCTAGTATTTGGATGGGTGATGACCGTTCACACACTGGCTGTCTTCGTAGGCCCTCTGGTTGGCCATGCAGCGAAATGCATTGTTGTGCTCTGCCCCCTAATCTGCACTCCCCTGCCTTCTCCAGCCTGCACTGAGCAGCAGGGGCTAAATATCACCCAGAGCCCGCCCCGTGTGGAGACGCTGTCTTCCAGCAGGGGATCGGACAAAAGGGCTGTACAAGTATTATTTGGGTCCATACTCGTTGGTTCTTTCGGTAAAGTCACGTAGGTAGAAATAAAATAAAATAAATCACGACGTTTCGATCGGAACACAAGCGACCGTCATCAGGCGGAACCGACACAGCAGGACAACCGCTGATTTTTCTTCGGTTCTTTCGGTAAAGCCACTTAGATAAAAATAATAATAAAAAGATTGTACAAGTATCGATCGGTGCAGTTTGTTTAAACCGAAAAAAAACAAGCCCGTCATTACGTTTTGGTGAAGCTGCACTCGAGCTGCAGGGGTCGGCAGCATCCCAGCAGGGCATCGTGAATGTTGCCGGCGTGGAAAGCGGTGTTCTTCTGTAACTTTGATACCTTTGTTTTTTTATCATGAATCTTCACCTTTCTTTTTTTTTAATAACGTGATTCGGGCTGCAGATTAGTGCCGTTGCTGCACTTTCTCCCCCACTATTGTCTCCGATTAAATTGAAAGGCAAATGCCAGGCTTGCTCATTTATTGTTGTGCGGCGTAAATTTGCGGTTATTAATTGCTTGGGCGAAGAAAGAGCGTACTTTGCTAAAAAAGAATTGTCTATTAATTCCAATTACAATTAAACAACCCAAAGGGTGACACGAACACGCCGGGGGGGCACGCTACATGTGTATTTACGGATCATACCGTACCTGTGTGTGTGTGTGTGCACACACTCGGGATTCAGATAAAAAACGTGGTGTTCGGATTTGTAAGGTCAGTTTTTTGATTGTTATTTTATTTTCCCTTGGCAAACGAAATTGACATCGCCCCGATAAGACTTGACGGCACCTTTGGTGGGAAAAGCAGAGAGGTGACCTAATATGAGTGATGTCATTTCCTTTGACGCGATTTTTTTCCGATCAATCTGAAACAACAAGTTTTCTGGATCGTTTAAAAATGTATATCTCTAGGTACAATTATGGGGGGTTTAAATTTCGATTTAAAGCTGTCTCCCCGACAGACCTGGTCTTCACCTGAGGACGGCTGCTTGCGTTGTGGCCAAAATGTCGTGAGAATTATTTTATTATGTTTTATTTTTATTATTTTATTATTTTCCTTCTACGTGACTTTACCGAAAGAACCAAGAAGATATGGGGGGTTTCTTTTCGGATTTTGATGATCTGGAATCCAGGAAAGCATCCCTTTTGCTTGCATTTTCTGTACGCAGACTGCATACTTGTACAGTACATGTCAGTCCACTGTTGGAATGAGGGCCTTCCCACGCCACGCAGGGCTTGGGAGGTTGCTCGACAATTCGTCTCCACTCCGGTCAGAGTTGCGCGTTGATGAAGGCGGGGAGCAGAGCCGGACACGACACTTTGGTTAAGTTTGACGACGTCGGGCCAACACGGTGGAGTTTGCTCCGGGCCCCACACCAGCCCTGGCGGGGCAGCATACGTGCGGGAGCATGGGAGTACAGTACAACGCTTGTGCTGTATTCCGAGATGCGATGCGTCCAGAGTGATTTGGTCATAAGCGTATACGTACACGTAATGTGTACGACGGAGTATGAATCTGTTGTATGCTATCAGCACGCCGGTTTAAATTTGGGGTCCTGCTACTGTTCAACAATTGATTCTTATCTGTCTCATTGTTGCTGTCGCGTTTACATTATTTGTATGATGATCCGTGTCACTTGCACGGTTTTACTGAGCTTAGTTATCCTAAACGTAGCAGCATATTATTCTCATACATCATGAATTATTGATGTTTACGTGCACGATTCATGCATGTATCATCATGAGTGTAAGAATATGTTTTAACGATTTAATCCATGAATTATGACACTTGTGGCATTCATACATACTCGTATATACACACACACGTATAGTTATATTTACGCAAACACATATTTACCACATCTACACTTATATTATTTATACACACGAATTAATATGCACGTACACGCGATTTAGTTGCGTAGCATCGTGAGCCTCAAGACTCCGTTTTCTGTCAGGTGGGTCTCTATGCGTCGTCACACTCTTGATGTTATTTACACCCATTATAAATGCTCTAAACACACACCACATACCACGCACATGCCCTGCGTACAGCGACGCACACGCGTGCGCTAAACGCACACGTGCCCACACTCGCGGGTACACGCGTGCTGGGTGCAGGTGTAATATTCATGGGGTTATAAATAGACGGCTATTGACGTACGTGCCCTGCGCACGCGTATTAATGCATGCGCGTGCGTGCGAGCTGTCCTGCTGTGTGTGGGGGGGCGGGGGGTTATCTAAATTTGGCTTTGACTTCTCCGCTAGGTCGATTCGGACTGAAATCGGTTGCTCCGCTGTCGGGAACAGTGATGCCGTTGCCGGTTGTGATTTTGTTTTTGTGTCGGTCCCAATCGACCGCTTGTGTTGTGGTGCTGTCAGAATAGGTGCTCGCTGACACAAAACGCGGGCGAACACGTTGCCCGCGTTTTTATTCATTTTACGTTCGGTTATTTTTCTGCGGCCCCGTCATCTAATCACCCGGAGTGTGATGGGATCATCAGATCTATGGAAGCTAAGTGAAGCAGGCTTTGGCCTGCGCAATGACCGCTCTGAAGGATGATCACTCTGCATAACGGGTTGCTATAAATGGTGGGTTTGTATGGCCGGCAGGACAGGGAAGCACCGCAGCAGAGGAATCCTCTGTTGTTTTGTCTGTGCCGGCGTCTCTCCGGTCCCTGCCTTGGGGATAAATCATTCCGTGCCTGATCGTTAGATTGCTGACAACAATCACAATGGCTCCACGTGCCGGGAGCCGCTTCTTCTTGCCGAACGACACGCGGCGCAACATCGAAGGCCACGGTGAGCGTTGGGGATGTTTATCCGCGCCGTGTCCGTCCCGCTCTTTACCCGTGTGTGGCGGGGGATGGTTTCCGCGCACGTGTGCAGGTTTCCTGGCGTTCCCGAGGGAATGCACGAGAACGAGGGATTCCGTTTCCACTTCGAGGTTTACGAGGCGGTGGACGGCAAGGCCGATGCGTGAGTCGCCCAGCTACCGCGACGACGTCACCGTTGCCTGTGCCGGCAAGAGGCCCGGGCTCATGTCGTCGCCGTTTTGTGACCGGATTGCGGTTGACGCGTGGTGATGAAAGGCCATCTTCATCGTTAACACCGCCAAAACAGGAAACAACACGCATGCACAGTCGAGTTAACTGACCGCACAATGTACAACGACGCGACTCGCGACCCACAAATACAAAGGAGACGTCACGGCGATACACTCCGCTGCTCCTAACGCTGTTTATCTGGCTTTGACCACCTCAATGTGAAATCGTTGTTGTTGCTCCGCATCTACATCAGCAGCCATACGAAAGAAGAAGAACTGTCGATTCTCCGTGTGCCAGCTTGCGCAGGTTAACCCGGTGGCAGAGTAATCGAGGGGGCGAGGATAATTTTACTCGCTGCTCCTCACTCGTCGAGGTTTGGTGACCATAAACGCGCCGGCCAAGCAAGCTGATGACTTTAATAAGCTATCAAACGTCCTTTTAAGATTCACAGTTGATTTTTGGGTCAGATCACTGCGTGAGTAAAATGTGCGTCGTGAACCCTCCTCCACCCAACGCAGCCAATTAATAAAAGACGTCGCGTGACCAAACGTGCCAACTTATTTCCGCTTCGGCAGCACCTCCAGTGGTGTTGGAGAGAAATCTCACGATATTTAACAATTGGGTTGCGCAGTTTTCACAGACAGTCATGTCTAGCATCACCAGGCAGTTACCAGAATTTTTTTCTGGCCACAATTATTAATCATGAATTAAGCCTACGCGTTATATTTACACCATTGTTTACCTAATTCACAAATGTTTTGCATCATCTCCACTTTTGTTTTATCTGAGTCACCGCTGCTTTACCTCAGAATCGGCAGTTGACCGTATAGTAGTCGGCAAAAGACCTTCTTCTGAGCAATAATAAATAAGATTTAGAGACTTGCAACAATTCTGTAACCTATGGCAGTGCAATGTTTGTAAACTGTCGCATAATGAATGGGGCAGCTCTTCTATCCATGGGTGAATGTTGACATGACTCATGCAGCTGTCACCGCACTGCAGCTGCCTTCTCTGATAGATTACCAATACCCACGATTCGCCACTAAGTGACGGCGACGTCACCACGGCGCCTGTGCCAGGCCAGGTGCACTTTGAGGCCACGTGAAGTGTCGAAGGCTCGCTGGCAGGAGGTCACGGGACAGACCCAGGTGCCACTGGGTCGACTGACTGAGATGACGACTGGCAGATGCACCACCTGTGCCCCCAACTGTGCCAGTTTTATCCACCCGGCGCTCCGCTCGTCGTTGTGAGCGTCGCTCCTCTGCCCTCCGTTGTTGTTGGAGGGCGACTGCCTCCAAATGACCGGTGGCAGCGTCCTTCACGAGCCTCCTCCACGATAGATCGTAATAGATTGCACTGCCCTTCGCAGCCTCATGGACGCTGCCGAGGGCGGGGTGACCGGTGACAGTCGGCGCACTGGACTTGCAACCTACAGGGGTCGCCCTATTAGATGTTCCCGGGACCGCAATCGAAGCATGAAACAACGGGGGACAAGTTTCTTAAACCCAACTCCCCCAACCGCCTCTGTGCAGCCAGCAGTATAAAATGGTCTCGCCACTCCGTAGGCGATCGACAGGACAAATGAATGGATCCGCTGTATCCAGTTCATTATGCAACGTAAAAAAAAAATCATTTGCCAGCACCGAAGTGGAGGCTAAGCTACCCGCGACGATGGCTTCTCCAGCAGAGCTCCATGTCGCAGAGGCCCTTCCGCCTGCAGTGGCATGGCCAGGCAATTGCAGCGCTGCACCCTCATCTGTGTACACCCTCCAGAGGACAAGCGACAGTTCGCCGCCGGCTCTTTTGATGTGCAGTCGTGCTACGGGGCAGCAGGCGGCCTTTGATCACGTGATACGCCTGCCACGCCGGCTTAGGTTGCAGAATTTAAAAAAAAAATCGTCTTAATTGTCCATTTCCCGAAAGCTCGGTGGCCTGCTAAGCGATGTTTTGTCACAGGGCAGTGTGAATAATGAAGGTGGTGAGCTTCGCGTCGGTAATTTGTGATTGTACGGCACTGTCAATGGCGGTCACTTAATTCGCTTGCGTTGTTTTGTTGTTTATTTGTTTGACCAATGGCAGGTGGGGTACACTATCGAGGCAGTGCGGCCAGTCCAATCTACATTCCAACCCCCCTTAGACCGGCTGAGTGTGTGGCTGTTGATGAGAGCAACGGGGTAGAGAGGCATGGAGAATACGGGTGACATCCGCGGTAACGGAATGACGCGAGCAACGGAGGTGCAGTTTTCGTGGAATGGGATTTTTTATTTTATGCAAGTGTATAAGAGCTCATTCTAGTTCTAGATTTGAAGCTTTCGTAACTGCAATGATCCATGCTCTTTGGTTCTTTCGGTAAAGTCACGTAGGTGAAAAAATACAAAATAAAATAAAGAATATAAATAAATCACGACGTTTCGATTGCAACACAAACAATCATCATCAGGTGTGACAACCACAGCAAGAACATTTTTTTCTTTTTTCACCTACGTGACTTTACCGAAAGAAGCAAAGAGTATGTATAAGAGCTGTCTGTGATCATTGGGTTACATGTTTGCAATTATCAGGTGTCCTGTGTCCCACGCTTCTAATTCCGATTAAAAAAAAGATTTCTGTTGGTAGTGGGAACTTAGTTGTTATATGGCTAGCAGTGGTGGTGGATTTGTGTTGTACTCGTCTCGAATTCTAACTTTGACCCTTTAACATTATTGATCCACTGGTGGTTCCAGTGAATGATATCTTCCTGACTTATAATCTTACAGCTTCGATCATTCTCGCACCATTTCCTCGACAACAGTGTTGATCCAACACACTTAACTAAAACGTAGCACTGACACCACCTTTCATGGGCAGTCATCATAGCCTTAAACCAGTTAACTCGTGCAAGGCCACGCTAGTATGAGGTCACCTCTTTGTTAAGTAGAAGAAGAAAAAACAAGCGGCGAGCAATGAATATCAAACATTGGAACGTTATATCGTGGGATCTCCTTTGCCAGTACCAAAATATAATGATGGGTTTTCCCCTTTTTTCTGGCAACAAAACAGGTGATAATTGGTTTTTTACCCTTCTATCTGGCAACAAAACTGACACCTTTTTACAAGGAGTCATGTTTGTATAGACCGCAATACCTGCAGTCATAATACAAACAAAAGACATAACTCTGATAATGTGCACTGTCCTTGAAGTTGATTGGTCCACACCCGAGACAGCTTTCCTTAGAGCCTAGTCTCACATGGGTTGGACCAGATGACGCCAAAAGGCGCACAACTCAAGGACAATGCACCATCAGAGTATGAGAGCTCGGGGTCAAGCATCTACACTATGGGAACCTCATTTGCCAGTAAAAATATGATAATTGTTTTTTTTACCCTTCTATCTGGCAACAAAACTGACACCTTTTTACAAGGAGTCATGTTTGTATAGACCGCAATACCTGCAGTCATAATACAAACAAAAGACATAACTCTGATAATGTGCACTGTCCTTGAAGTTGAAGTAGAACAAAACAGCTGTGTTAAGATGTTAAAACACCAAACTGAAACCTTTTACAAGGAATCATGTCTGCATTAACCAGAATGCTTGTGATCAGAAAACAAATAGTCCGTTTTTTGTTTGCATTCTGACCACAAGCATTGTGGTTAATGCGGACATGATTCCTTGTAAAAGGTTTCAGTTTGGTGTTTTAACAACTTAACACCTGTTTTGTTGCCAGAAAATAGGGGGAAAACCTATTAACATTGGAACGTTACTTTGCTGTGCCTGCCATGAGTATGTTGGTGGTGACGGTAACTCGGTGATGGTGGTACATATGAACATATTTTGGAATATTACGTGGGATGGTTATCAAATAAATATATTTGCATGGTCGTGTCGCCTATTCAACTGTCACATAACCGCCCGGACCAATGAATCGCTCGCGCCCACTGCGGTAATTGTGGTGGTGGTGGTCATCTCGGTCAGTCGACGCGTGGCACCTGGGTCTGCCCCGTGACCTGCCAGCGGGCGTTCGACACTTCACGTGACCTCAAGGTGCACTTGGCCTGGCACAAGCGCCGTGGTGACGTCACCGCCACTTAGTGGCGAATGACGGTTGTGGTGTAACCATCATTCTCGGTAGATGTTCATGAATCCAACCTTTTTACATTCCTCGGCGAGCGAGTCGGATATGCGACATTGTGCTGTCCTGCCACTCACTGATCGTGGTGCAAAATGATTTAACGGTGTGGCGATGTTTACTGCATTCACTGTATTGGTTATCGCAATTAAAGGTATTTTGTCGAACACGCACAAAGACCCTGAATAAACATTTAAGTGTCTTACCTCATTGGCCACGAAAGATCTAGGGTGTGAATCTTCTTGCAAGGAGTGTGTTTTAGTTGCAGCTTTTGTTTTAATTTTTAACTTAAAAAAAAAACACCCCAAAAAGTCACCATTATTCAGTCTCACAACAGAAACATTTTGACAGTTGTCCGATGTTTTGGGCAATGGCTCCTCTTCATGGCAGCTCGAGGAGCGGTATTATCGACTAATATCTAGCACTCGACTATCCACATTTCAGCCACACGTGGTTAAGTCGGATTATCGCGCGTAACCACTGATGATGAAACTAAATATTTAACGATACTGCGTTGGGCAGTGCTACACGGCCACAACTAATACGACTCGTTCGACAGTAACGCGTTTTTTGATAAACGCGTTGAGTTTAAAGTTTAAGGGAAATAACCAAATAATAAAACAATACAATTCTCACGACGTTTCGATTGCTTGTGGTGCAATCGAAACGTGAGAATTTGATTGTTAAATTTGTATTATTTCCCTTCTACGTGACTTTACCGACAGAACCAATAATATGAATCCCTGCAGTCACGAAAGCTTTAAATCGAAATTTAAAGTTGAAGTCGGTAGCTTGGTCACTAAGGCGACTACACACACAAAAAAACAATAGTTATTGTAATTATACGGTATTGACACTGTCATTTGGATACATTTGGTTCTGAGAATTAAAACATTGACAGCCACGCGACGAAATGTTTGTTAAAAAGAGGGAGTCGTGGCAAAGTGCGTCCCCTGGTGGGTGGATAAAAAAATAGTCGTTCGAAAATGAAGATTTGAGAAGGTGATTCGGGGACTCGTTGGTTTTGCCGATAGCAAAGCGTTCCCGAACAGACTCGTCTCGTCACATGACGCGACGTCGATGGCACGGTTGCAATCAAATTGGGGAAGGAGAGGCATCAACAAAACAATCAGCGGGGCGAATCTCCGAGGCAAATGCGTTTTGACCGGTTTTTTTTCTTCATCTATTAAGTCGTGAATCTCAAAGAGAGAAGATCGCTTTGTCGTGTCACAATGCAGCTCGGATAGCCAATGGAACATTTCCACTTTGGTTTATGTAACCGGCCACTCACTATACCTGAAAGCAATTTACAAAACACGGCTAAAATGTGTTTGCGTCCAATCCAGTGCTGGATGTTTGATGCAGTCCCTCTACCATACCTCGTCGTTCACGGGGGTTGTTTGACCAGATTTCATCGCAATGGCTATTATCCTTTAGGTGGATTTCACTCGACACTGATGTTCGCAGTGGCCCGGAATGGAAATTCGAGTCCGAGCACAGTGCACCGACCGTTCCATTGTTCAGTAGAGGTTTAACGATGCGTAGGGGTGACCGCCCCGGGCCCCACACTTTGGGGGGCGCCCCGCGCTTTGACATCACGGTATCAGATGGTATACTTCCGGGTTAGTTTGAGGGTGTCGAGTCGACCCCGCACCCCCTCCACCCCCAGGGATGACCCTGCATACATTCATCAATTAATATTGATTCGTAAGTTCACGAACGCGCATTAATTTGCGTCGCAATCAATGTGTTTCAACTCGTACGCGTTATATGTAATGGGTTTACTGCAGACACTAGAGGCAATCATTTTTTTTATTTTACTCTTGTAGCATTCTGCCCTCTTTTTTTATCGTGACAATTCACCGTCGAGATTTGTGAGACGAAATCTCGACGGCGCCACTCGCAATCATGCCGCCTTCCCACGTAAATAAATGACCTCGATGACGGGCGATCATCTCAACGTGCCCAAATAAAGGGGCTCAACCAAAGACGTTATGAGTCTCGGCGAGATCCCACCTGGTTAAAGAAAGGGACATCGACCCATCCGACATCGATCCGTCTGCTTGCAGCTAATCCACCGCGGGACGCATTTGGAGATGCGGGCCCCCCCCACGTGATACAAGCTGCGTCATTTGATTCCGTCCGTTCCAACCCTCAAATGGCTTTCATCTATTCCGTCCTTTGATTATATTTTTGGTGTTGTCACCCTGGACGCGTCTCGCACTAATATAAGCCCACATGTTAATGACTTGCTGCTTGTTTTGTATGTGTACATTGTCGAGCGTATCCCTCTCGTGGCCACCCCTCCCCGTATCGTGCATACAATTATCTGCTTAAATAGACAAAACACGTCAGCACCGACATTACCATCACAATCACGGAGCGGAGGTGTAAAATTAGATATGTATTATTACTGCCACCGCTGTCGCGTGTCCCGTGCCGTTCATCAGATATACGGTGTGTGGGGTTCATCCTTTGCTTCGCGAGTGCCTATTTTACCTGCGAGTTCGCTTTTGAAATACGGTGGATGATGGCTCAACACAAAAAATAATCGGGAGCTGTGGGGGAGAGAGAGAAAGAGAACAACGCTCACTTTCTAAAGCCTCTTACGAGTCTCCCACCAATCCAAATCCGTGAAATAGAACGATGTTCTCGTTGTCATACACCGGGGGGGGGGGGGGGGGGCTTAAATTCACTGAGTTTTTATGCATGTTGCGTCTCGCTTCGGTGTTTTCGTTAATTTCGGAAACTGCCACCCTCCTTCGGTGTCCAAATTGTCACCGATATACCAAAGACTCTTGCCTCCCTACGGATTCTCTCTTCCAAGACGTCTGGTTAACGTGGAATAGTCGACCACACGCTTTTATTTAACTCACTCTGTCTGTCGTTGTTGTATCCTCAAATCTTGTAACTCAATTTTTACCAACTTCCCAATGTGGTATCGACTGCAAATTTGGTATACTTATGTCATACTGATGACAATACTATATTCTATCATTAAAATAAAATAAAATATTTTAAAACATTTTTTACATGTTATGTTTCGGCTTGGGTCTAATTGTCCACGCTCAACTGACGTTGGCCGTAAATGACCACGGTCTCTTACGTTATGGCAAGCTTCGGGGCCACTTCCTGGAGTCGTGGAGTTCTTCCATTACTAGTACGGTTCATTTCAATAAAGCGTGTTTTTAAAAAAGTTTTTTTTTATATTACTTATTTATTGTACCAGGTAGGGCCCACTGAGATATAAAAGTAGTTTTCAGAAGTGACCTGGCCACAAATGATAGCGTAACGAAGTGGTTTATGGTGTGGACATCTATAGCAGCCAAATACTCAAACGCGTGATGTTGAACCTAAACGTGGAGGGAAAAACCGGAGGACGCAGAGAAAAATCCACGGGGAGAACATGCCAACTCCAAATATACAGCAGGCATCAAAGGGTCAGGATCGAACCCACGACCTCCTGTATACCAGGCGAGGTAGTTAACATCTCGCCACCGCGGCGCCCTAATAAGAGAAGCAGTAAAGGAGGAACCCAGAACCACTGACTTTGACATGTCAATCCAAAGTACCCGTCAAATTTAAGAATATTTACAGACCTTGCATTTTACTGGTAGGAACCACCTGGTTCCACCAGCCCATTTGGGATTATTATGTCCGTCCGTCGTGCATCCAAAAATGGGAGGGGTCGGGCTGGGTGGGGAGGGTGGGGATGGGCTGGGTGGGGAGGGTGGGGGTGGGAGGGGTGGGGCTGGGTGGGGAGGGGCTGGTCACCACGTGGTGCCCTTATAAAACTCAACGTTTAACCTACTCACGCCGGCTTGTGCCCGCCCTCACAGTCGGGCATATTTGCGGAATACACCACGCCGCCGTTGACCCTGGCCATTGACCGAGCAACCCAACGTTCCCACCAGCTCCCTCCGCAGGAATGTGTTTTGTTTTGGAATTTCAAAACGCGCCTTGTCAAACGCGTGCATCTCCCTCAGCGTGTTTCCTAACGGCCAATGAACGTTACAAAATGCGCAGCCCTGCAATTCTTTACTCACGCCATCGCTGGCGAAAGAATCTCAACCCGGAGTTGACGTTGCAGAGAGCGCCCCTTAAGAGGGCACGTCGCCCAACGATTCCCCTTCCACCTTCGCCCTACTTCTTGTAAAAGGTGGGAGTACCCACACTTTACCCCACCACACACGAGCTGCCGATAGCGTGTGATTGGCTGTGGTGACCCCACATCTACTGCTGAGTATGGAGGCGTGGGGGGGGGGGGGGTTGATTGAGAAACTCTTCCCCCACTATACTCTTGGTTCTTTCGGTAAAGTCAAGTAGGTGAAGAAAATAATAAATAAAATACAGATAAAAATATAATTAAATCATGACGTTTCGATTGCAACACAATCAGCATCAGGTGTGAATACCACAGCAAGAAAATGTATACTAAAGTGGAAGAGTTGCCATCGAAACGTGATTTAATTTGACTAATTTTTATTTATTGTTATTTGTTACCTATGTGACTTTACCGAAAGAACCAAGAGTATGGATCCTTGCAGTCACGAAAACTTCAAATCTAGAATCTTCTCGCCACTGTTTCAGCGACCGCACTGTGAGATGGAATCGATCCGACGACATCTGGATTCAAACTCCAACGTTGCTGTTACAACCACGGCATCATCTGTGTCTATAGCGTCTGTCGTCATTATAACATTTTTTTTAAACATATTGGCAAAATAAAATGAACTATTTACCTGTTGTGTTTCACTGTGTAGCATAATTGTAGGTCACGGTGACCCACGGTGCCATCATTTGCTCGAAAGGTTCGCTGCCGTTTCATTTGCATTTTCTAGGGGTATCATTAAATTGTTCTCCCCCATTATAATGAACACCGCCCGAGACGACCACGTGAGCAATGGTGGTACCGCACAGCCTTCACCGACCCGCACTGACCAGCGTGGTGAAGTATGGTCGGAACAACCCCTCGTGCAGTGGATTGACCACGCGGCTGTGAATGCGGCACAACACTCACCACGTACCACTCCCCCGGCTCAAACGGACCGGGGCCAGTGGTGGAAATTCGACAGTCCTATGGCGGTGGACAGACTATCCCCGGGATTGCTTACGTCTCAACGCATTGGCTTGCCGCGTGGGTCTGCGGCGGCTCTCCAGTGTGGCTTTGCGTCATTACCCGCGCGCGTAATTCGGCACGATGTCCGACGTTCCGCTTGCACGTGCCTGGAGCTTCTCCAGGAAGTGAACTATTCATTGCCTGAAGAGAGAAAACAATATTTCGGGAAACCGGCTGAACAAGTTCAGAAACACACAGTTAAATTCCTGAAAGAGCTCCCCAGCACGCGGGGCGAAACGTCGGCACATCACGCCGAACGACGAAGAGGAGAGAGCCACGCTGCTGCGTATGTCCAGCTGGGCGATCTCTCCATCACATCCCCGTCCCTCCGCGAGAACACGCAACATCACCAAAGCATTTTTCGATTTAAAGCTTTCGTGACTGCAGGGATTAATCTTCTTGGTTCTTTCGGTAAAGTCACGTAGAATGGAAATAATAAAATAATAAAAATAAAACATAATAAAATTATTCTCACGACGTTTCGGCCACAACGCAAGCAGCCGTCCTCAGGTGAAGACCAGCTCTGTCAGAAAGACAGCCTGTTCTTCACCTGAGAAGATGAATCCCTGTAGTCACAAAAGCTTTAAATCGAAATTTATTATGCTTTATTTTTATTATTTTATTATTTCCATTCTACGTGACTTTACCGAAAGAACCAAGAAGATGATCACCGAAGCAGTCCTGACGGAACCCATCAGCCGCACAGCCCCCTAATCTCAGCCGCGTTGAATCCACGTACGGACTCAACTCTGCCCCTGTTTTTGACACGAGGCGTCTCGTCAGCAGGGTCAGGCTCGCTGCAGCGCTAAGAAAGAGAGAGAGAGAGAGCTGTTTGCCCCAATCCACTCCAGCCTGCAGCCTGCAGCAGCAGCAGAAGCAGCCTTCCCACGCGCAGATTCCGGCTGCTTTCGCGTGAACGTTAATGAACATACGTGCACGTACATGCACGTGCACGTGCAGCCCCTCTACCACTCCGCTGCTGCACCAGGGCCTTCCCCGTGCTGTGTGATAATTATCTATAAATAGATAGCACATCTATATATATATATCCTGTCTATATCTAGCAACGTGGATATTGTCTTCTGGTTCGGAAGGGAGACGTCTTCCGGTGAACGAGGCTCACCAAAACTGTCGTTGATTTTTTTTTTCCAACACGAGAATTCTGATCTGCAATGAGCACGCAGCTCTGCGCAGTGCGCTCGTTATTTCTTTATTTAACTCGTATTGCGTGCGTGCGCGTGTGCCCGTGCGTCTGCGTGTCTGTGTCGGTGTGTATCTTTGTCTGTGTGTGTGTAGGGTTTTTTTTATATTTCGTCTTTAAATAGAAACCTGTCGCCCGCAGCTCCCCCCACGCCCCCATCTCGTCCTCCTCTATCCCCCTCTCTCAATCACTCCATCTCTCCCTCTCGCCATCCCTCTCATCGGCTCCCTCCCTTTCTCTCTCCACCTCTCCTCCATCCTCCCTGCTTCCCTCCTCCCCCTCTTTCCCAATCTCTCTCCCACCACCCACCACCCTCCCTCTCCCCCTCTCTCCGCCGCTCTCACCTCTCCATAAGCTCCCATCCTCATGAGTGCCGTGTGCGTTCACGTGAGAAGGGACCAGTGGTGACGAGAAGGAGCTGTGCAGAGGGAGGTCTGGACACCACCAACAGCACTCGCAGCAGAAGCTTAAATCATCAGCAGCAGTAGGCAGCAGAAGCAGTAGCTTAAATCGTCAGCAGCAAACAATTACATTAAATTCATAAACAGCGCATGACCGGTAGCAGCAAGTCATCAACGCTCAACAATAGTGACATTCGTATTCATCATCAGCAGCATTAATCATCATCACAAGCATCATTATAAATAACGACAGCAGCAGTGGAAGCATTATTCATCAGCGGCAACACCAAAATAGCAGCAGCAGTCGCAAGCGAGCAAACAACAGCGTTATCGTCTGCAACAGCAACAGCGGCAACAATTACCCTCTGACTTGAGAGCAGCGAGACTTAGGCAACATCGTTCCAACCCGCACAGCCTGGCTATTGCAAGACCAGCAGTTCACACCGACGCAGGTAAGCCACCGACTGGCTGTACGCATCGGCTCGAGCCAAGATTATTGCCACGAGTAAGAGATGCCAGGGGCAGGAATGTCTACCAACCAGAACCATCACCATCATCAGCAGCAGTAGTGTTATTGAACAGCCGGTCACCGTCACCATCGTTATCAGTAACAGCGGCAGCAGAATTTAAGCGTCGTATCACCACCGCCGCCGCCGTCATCATCAGCAAAATTGCACAGCAAGTAACCATCATCAGCCGGCACCAGCATATCACAACGGCAGCACTGTGAGCACAGCACCGGCAGTTGCACAGGAGGCACAAGAACCAGTAAGGGAACGACGCGAGCAAGGGCAAGGCACAATCGTCGTCCATCATCATCAGCAGCAGCAGCAAGGGCTCTCAGCTGGCGTGCAGATTTCCAGGTGGGCAGGGTACGAGTTAAACTTGGAGTGTGGTCATGCGTGCCCCGCTAGCAGCCGGGTCGTGTTCCTGGGGAGACAAAGACGGCCGGTCGTTGCTGCTGGTTCTATCCTCTCATCGGCTAGCGGGCGGAGCTGGATTTTTCGGAATCAGTGCTCGATTACGGCAGCACTTTGTACAATTGTATGGTCGAATGAGGGGGCGATGCGATGCTATGCGGTACACTTACGTGCAGCAGTTTAATAATATTGGTTACCCGGGTTCGCTTTCCAAGACGCGGCGAGCGACATCAGCGGCGCGGGTTATCGTGCGATCCGAACGTGCCGGGCCACCCCTAGGTCAACTCGGCCTTAAACACATACCGAGAGCGATGGGCAAATATCAGTAGAGGGATAAGGGGGGTGGAGGGGCGGCGGGCGGAGGCTGTGGCGACGACCTCGATAGCCGCTCGCTCACAGCGCCCGACGCGAACCACGGACGGTTCATCCCGGGCATCTGCGCGTTTGCGCCTCTGCGCGTTTGGCTGGACGAGAATGAAACGTGGCGCGACTTCGCGGTGCCCCTCTAACGGGAGCTCGCTGAGCGGGCAGCACTCGCCCACGCGCGTTATTTAAGACAGCCGGACAACGATTTGTGGGTGGCGTGTGCGCCGGTGTGTGCCGGTGTGCGATTGGGGGGCTCGCGCGCGACAATGAATCGCCTTGATGGCGAACGGACGACGCCGCAGCCACCACCACCACCACAACCACCGCCACAACCACCACCACCGCCACCACCACCACCGCCACCACCGTCACCGCCACCGCCACCACCGCCACCGCCACCACCGCCGCCACCACCACCACCGCCACCACCACCACCACCTCCGCCGCCGCCACCGCCGCCGCCACCGCCACCGCCGCCACCGCCGCCACCACCACCGCCGCCCCAGTGAAACACCGCCCAAGTTGATGCACCAAACGTCGGGGCGGTGTTTCTGTTCCGACGTTCCGTGTTGACTTGGGGGAACCGCAGACAATTGCCGTTCGATCTCGGCGGATCGCAGAAGCTAAGCAGGTGTTGTTATATATATGTTTTAAAACTGGTGAGTCCTTAATGTGAATGGGTGGTGACTTGCCAGGTGTCGTAGGCGTGGAGGCTGCTGGACGGTGGCCAGGTGGTGATGTGTTGTCACCAGCCCCTCGTTCCCGAGTAGGAGATTCTCCGGTCTCCTGCCACGCTGTTGAAGCCACAACTCACTCTCTCTCTTTCTCTGTCTCATCAATCTAGTTGGCCAAATATTCCAAACGTAGCTGGACCCGACCTCATCATGAGTCTTGAGACTCGGTGACGCTTTGCTGGGCAAATAATCGGCCTTGGTTCGTATTTGTTATAAGCGCGAGTCTTACTATTTTGCGTAAAACGCGAGAGTAACGAGAGTGTATTTCTACGCGTGTCGGTGTACTGGTGAAAACGAGGCTGTAATCTCAATTTAAAGCTTTCGTGACTGCAGGGATTCATCTTCTTGGTTCTTTCGGTAAAGTCACGTAGAAGGGAAGTAATAAAATAATAATAAAACATAGTAAAATAATTCTGAATGACGCTGTCTCCCCGACAGACCTGGTCTTCACCTGAGGACGGCTGCTTGCGTTGTGGCCGCAACGTCGTGAGAATTATTTTATTATGTTTTATTTTTATTATTTTATTACTTCCCTTCTACGTGACTTTACCGAAAGAACCAAGAAGAAGGCTGTAATCGTGTAATTCTAGATGCATATTTGAGGTGCACCGTTAGTCAACTGTGTTATGGCTCCTTTTCCCAATCTAATGTTGGATGTCTATGTGGGGTCGTTTGACCATACCTCACCAGGCCGGCGGCCAGTGCGGCTCAGATGGCACTCACCACTGACGTTGGCCTCGATCGGGAATCAAAGACGCCGTGGTGGCTAGGAGATGCTAACTCCCTCGCCTGGTGTGCAGGAGGGCGTGGGTTCGTTCCTGCTGTATATGTGTGTGTGTCTCTCCCACGTGGTCGCGTGGATTTTTCACCGGGTCCTTCGGTTTTTTTCCCCCTCCACATTTAGAATCAACGTGCGTTTTAGAGTATTCGGCTGCTGCTAGAAATGTCCACATAAGCAGACACTTCGTTGGGCTATCATGTGTGGCCAGGTCGCTTCTGAAAAAAAGAACTATATAGCTCAGTGGGCCTTACCTGGTCAAATACTAAGTTTAGTTTTAAAGACGCAGACAAAACAGAAATCCCAAACTGCCAACGCGAGTGAAATGATGGGGCACGTTCGGATGAGATAAGACATGTATCCAACCTGACCCCTGCAACCACTACAGACCGCGATATTTTCCACAATGTAAAAAAAAGAAGAAATTATTAAATCAGAATGAGACATCTCCTCCCCCGCCCACCCCCTATGATGGCCGTGTGGGGGGAGGGCGGGTCTCGTACCCACAGTGTTCAAACCAAAAATCTGTTCCGTTCCGAACAGCTTTGATCATCCTTCGTAATGTGACGAGTTGATCAGTCACGTGTGTGTGTGTGTGGTCGTGTCGAGGTTGGTGAGTGAGCCTGAAGCCAGTGGACGGCTTCAGGAGTAGCCTCGTGATGAATATCATACACCCTGCCGGCGAACGATCAACGTGGCCAGAGGCGTCACCGTGCGATCCACGGTTTGAGACAGAGGCTCGCGTGGAGAGTCATAGACTCACGCAGAGACCCGTAGACTCGCATAGAGACCCACAGACTCACATGGGGTGTCAATGGCTCACAAAGGGCCCATAGAGTGATCTAAGTGGGCAGCTGTGTTTGTAAGCGGTTCGTGGTTTGAGACTGGTGACCGCAATTTGACTGCGGTCTGTGCTTAATCACCCACTTATGATAGGAGGAATCGCGTCTTTGGTACAAAACAGACCACAGCCATTGCTGTTCTAATTTGAGATGGACTTTTTTCTTCTTCTTTCAATTCGGTACGGCATTTCAGTTTGACCTAACAACTGCCAAAGGAACACAAATTAAATGTGCCAATCATCTAAATTGCGGGACCTTCTTAAACTGGAACGTTCACACGCGCGGCGCGCGCGCACACACACACAGGAGCACACATTATATGCCAGCCTTGACTTGCACTGCCTGAACACAAGAACGAGACATGGGATTGGTACGTTGAGCAAAACAATTGGGCTCGGGCAGGCCGCATCGCTTGCACTTGACGACGGATCGTGCGGCGAGACTGGTTACGGAACGGCAGCCAAAGGGAGGAATTAAAAAAACGCGTCCGAGGGAGCGAGTGGTGGCACCCACTGGAACGTGGCGGATGGATGGCGACGGCGTGGGGAGGCGTTCATCCAGCAGGTGGATAGACACCGGATAATCACGATGACCAGCAACGACGGCGATGCTCAGGGTACAACTGCGACAACGCCATCAGCCACTCGGGTTCCAATCCGCGAGTTCGATCCCCGGGACAGGGAATTCAATGCAGAACTGGCAACGTCGTTTAATTACTTAAGGTATCAACGTGTTCACGCGTTACGTAACATAAACACGCTACGTATTATTACATTAATACATAAACATTAGCCCGTGGAGTTGCATAACATTCTGTCACGGTTTTGGGTGTCGCAGTTTTTTGAGCGGATGGAACGAAGGCTCCGTGATGCCACCCAGTGGCCAGACGTGCGACTCGATCCACGGGTCCAGCACCGTTTGACCATACTTCACCACGCTGGCTATCGGCGGTCTGACCCATCCAGTAGCGGACTGACAAAGCGGGGACCGTGGACGCACACCAAACAACCCTCGGGCAGCACGTGGCCAGCGATGGCAATGCGTGAACGCGCCCACTCCGAACCATCTTCACCGCTTCGGAAATGTGCACAGTACACCGCGCACCGTCAACTCACTTTTCATCCGAGTTGATCTAGGGGAGGCCCGCAGGCTTGTCAAATAGGGGGGGACTGCGTTGCGTGCGCGTGTTCATGTCCGCAAAACCGCCCTTGAATGAATTCCTCCGTCCACCCGCCCGCCCCGCAATGCGCCCTGATTAATCTCGGCAGCGAACGCGGGATTTTTCTTGAGCCCGGACAAAGTGTTCGGGGCGCGTGTCCGTCAAGGCTAAGCGGTGCGCGGCGTCTCGGTGATTAGCGGAGGGCAAGTGCTGGAGACGTCCGTTGTGGCCGTGCCGTGCTCCCGCATCTATGCTCACCCCGCGCGGTGAAGTATGTTCAAGTGGTCCCCCATGCCCCCCCCCCGCAACGGCAGCCGTGGATTCTGCAGGTGCGTTAGTGAGCGACGCGGGCGGCTTGGAGGTTCGCAATTGAAGGTTTCCTAGCAGGCGTTGTGGATGTGATCGGGAATACGAGGAGGTGATCAGGAATAAGAGGTGATCAGGGATAGGAGTAGGTGATCGGGAATACGAGGAGGTGATCAGGGATAGGGGGAGGTGATCAGAAATAGGATCAGATTAGGAATAGGATGTGATAAGAAATAGGATGTGATCGGGAATAGCTGGTGGTGATCAGTAATAGGAGGTGTTCAGTAATTGGAGGATGTGATAGTGAGTAGGAGGAGGTGATAGAGAATAGGAGGAGGTGATCAATAATAGGAGGAGGTGATCAATAATAGGAGGAGGTTATCAATAATAGGAGGAGGTGATCAATAATATGAGGAGGTTATCAATAATAGGAGGTGATCAATAATAGGAGGAGTTGATCAGGAATTGGAGGATGTGAACAAGTGACTTTTTTTCTCTCACAAATTTGGACCGACACTGGTATTGGAGTGGCAGATGGTGGTAGTGGTGATGATGACGATGGTGGTGGTGATGATGATGGGGGTGATGATGGTGGTGACGATGATGGTGGTGGTGACGATGGTGGTGATCATGATGATGATCAGACCTCAAGAGCAGACGCTGAAAGGTCAGCAGTCAACTTCACAGCAGCCAAATGATCTAGCAAAAAAGGAAGTGATGGCTGATGCTTTTGACGTGTCGGCTTCAAAAGCAATGACCTTGACCTTCTGACCTTGTAGGTGTGCCATCTCTTGTTTTGTCATTCCAATGATGGACGAGGGCCTCCCCCACACCACGTGCGTCCGTGGGGATTAGTTGATCGGACTTCACCACGCTCACCTTGAACTTGCCGTTACTTGCGCCCAGACCAAGGGTTCGGCCACCTTTGCCGGCTCCGGAACCCGCGTGTGGCTCTCGGAGGATTTGCATCGCGACAGTTTTTTTTTATTGAGGACCTACAGCCGTATTCACCACACCGTGGATAATTGCGGCTCTTGACGTATTGAGGTTTTTGTTGTTGTTTTTGTTTTACCGAATTCGAATTTAATTTCTCTTCTTGTGATTTTTTGGTTGCCGACCCATGGACCTCGACGTTCCTGAAAATATAAATTAAATAATGCATCGAATTCCACCCGCCCCCCCCCCCCCCACACACACGCACCCTGAGACCTTCTAAGAAAAAAAACATATATAAACAGAACCGTTGATTTAATATGCGACGATTTTGTACAACAGCCCATCATATTACAAGGGCCGCTGTCCGAAACGTCGCCTAAATATATTTTTTCATTTTAAGCCCACAGTGCTTTTTGACGAATGCGTTGAAATTATTTTTGCGCGTTTATTTGGTCATTAACCGTGCTTTCGCACCACTGCCAAACGCAGCAGAAGCAGCAGAAGCAATCTCCCGACCCATTTGTCGGGCGACTGAACGGGCCTTGTCGCGTTGTATTTGTGTAGTCCGCACACCGATCCATTCGGCCCCACTGAATGTCCCACCCCACCCCGCACGGAGCCTTGTCAAGCTCCACCTGCACCGGTTGTTTATAAGGCAAGGGGACAATTCGTAGAACGCGCGGTACCTGTGAAAACACATTCGGAACTCACGCGATGACGACGATGATGATGATGATCGTTTTGGAACAGCTGTGGTTTTGACGGTGGGTCCTGGCGTTCGAAGCCTTCTGCGGTATTCCTTCACCACGTGGCGATTTTGTAACGCGCGGAGCCGAGCGGAGTGTCACTCGAAAGCAACCACGGGGTGGCGATAGGGTTTGGGCGTCTTAAGGAGGTGTGGTGGCCTTGGGAGTGCCTCTTTAAAGTCGCTGTGGGTTGAACGCTGCCGCTGTGTGGCAGCAGCAACAGGCAGCGGTGTGTTACCTGGGCAAGTTGAACTCCGCCGCTGCTACTCCCCGCAGGTAACTCCGCCTGTACCGAAGACAAAAAAATAAAGCTTCATGATGAAGCGAGTTGTAATTACTGTCGAAACGTCGTACTCCGATTGTAAATGTTGTCATTGTAAATGTTGTGGCTTGGCTCTCCAACACACCGGTTAGTGCTGTACTAGTGACCGAATTGGCCACGTTCTGTTAACGTGACAACCCATTACTAGTTGGCTGTGTCGGGTGGTGGCTGGTTTTAACGACACACGTTTATATATTTACGCGATCTAACCCAAAAACCTCTATCATGGATGACATTGGTCGCGAAAGTCGACGCGTTAAAATTCTTTGCAGCGTTAACGCCGGCACAGTAACGCGGCCTCCGTCTTGCGAATGACCCCGCAGGGTCTTTAACGTCCCCTGTGCAGCCGCCGGCGCGCCGTGTTCGCACGGTTCACACTGCGCGCACCGCAGTGTTAACCGGGGCGGCCGCTCGACTCGAACCGAGAACGGCTGCGACCAGTGGCCATGCCACAGCCCAGAGTTGTTAAAACAAAATGACAATCAGGGCTGTGGAGCAGGGTCATTGCCCGAAACGTCGCCGTCTATCATATTGTTTCTTTGAAGGCCACACAAGAAAGATCCCCCGTATAGGCAATGAACAGACTTTTGTGGCAAGTGATGTTAGCAAGCAGCACCTATGAAGGCCGGCACGGTACAGGAGGCGGTGGGTGGCCAGCAGCACGCCCGGCCGCCTTTGTCTTCCCCCGAGTGGCGATGTTTACTTACACGCCGCACCAGGTACTCATTTGTGCGTGCGTATGTTGATCTCCTATCGTTGCACCGGTACGTAGCCAACCCGTGCTAATCGGAGGTCGCGGGGGAAGGCCAGCAAACTACGAACACACAAAGAGCAGTTCTAAAGTAATGAGCAGCAGCAGTGGCAACGACGACGACGACGATGGTGGTGGTGATGATGACGGTCGCGTTCCAGCCAGAGGAACGACGCCCATCAGTGACGGTCACGGTCCTGCGTGTAGGCAGGGAGGGAAGAGATCGTGAGTCGTCCTGCTGCTGCTACTTCTGCGAGTTCCAGCGCGAGCTGTATGCATGCACATTCACGTGTGTGTGTGTGCACTGCGTTCTGGTCTTCATAGGTGCTCGCTAATAGCACTTGGCTGCACGGTATGTTAAGGCTATACGGGGCGTCTTTGTCTTTGTCTTGTACTGCGTGGGGAGCGTTAGTGCAGTGGTTAGCGCTACGCTGTGCTACAAACCCGGCCGGCCCAATATCGATTCCCGCTCACGGTCAACACCAGTGACGATTGTCTGAACCCTTGCTGGGCCTCTCCTAGGTTGACTCAGCCTCAAATGAGTACCTGGTTCGGTGTTTAAACATCGGCACTGGGGAGACAAAGGCGGTCGGACGTGGTGCTGGCCACCCACCTCCTCGTGTGCCGTGCCGGCTTTCATAGGTGTTCGCTAACAGCACTTGCACCAACCGTCTGGTCAGGTTATACGGGGGGTCTTTGTTTTGTTTCTTTGTACCGCGTGTGATGTATTCATTCAATTCTTTGTACCGCGTGTGATGTATTCATTCATTCAATGTACTTGTACTGCGCGGTTGAGCGGTGGGACAGTGGTTAACAGAATCAGAATCTTTTTTTTTACTGGAGGAATCCATGTAAACAAATCACACAAACAAATAAAACACTAAACCATCCCCCACCTATCAGACAAAGCCCACTTAGGTATTAACTTATTTTTTCGAAAGCGACCTGGCCACAAATGATAGCTCAACAAAGTGGCCCATCGATTGAACATTTATAGCAGCTAAATCATCGATATAATCTCAACGCATGTGTCTAAATGTGGAGGTAGAACCTGGAGGACCCGGTTAAAAAAAATCCACGCGACCACGGGGAGAGAGACACGCAAACTCCCAATATATAGGCGTCGGGGTCGAACCCACGACCTCCTGCATACCAACTCAAGTTCGATTCCTAGGCACAGCCAATGGTGTAACTCCACAGCGGCCAGTGATATCCGAACCGGTGCTGCAATCCCAGTGAGTAATTTGCAGCGACCGTAATTATCCATCGCCGGGATACTCGGCATTGACCAAGTGGCACTGAACGGGTTTTATTTTAATAGAGACCGGATGACTCGTAGGGTTCCAATGGAGACCACGAGGAGAACGCACAACCCAAGGCCGTAGCCATTGAGTCATCATTGGGAGGGACCAAATTTTCCAGGGTGCTTGGGGGTCCCAAAAAAAAAATCTAAATTAGAAAAATCATTTCCTGCCTAAAATATTTACAAATTCACTAACACATGGGATGGACGTTTTTTTTACTTACAATAATGTCGAATAGTGTATTGTATTCAATTGCTCTGTTTTAACTTTTTTTACCATTTCTTGTTTCATTTTATGTAATAGCAGAGATGAGGGATTAATAAAGTACAACCATAACCACAATCATATACACAGAAATCTATGCATTGATTTATATGAAGACAAGTCCAGATATTGTGGCCAACGTTTAGCAAATTATTTTTATTTACATAGCATAGCAATTAATTTTTTTATACCAAAATATTGGGGGGGGGGGGGGGGGGAGAGATTTTGAGCATTTTTTTATATTGGGGGGGGGGGGGGGTGTGTTCCCAATATATATTATAATTACGGCCTTGGTACAACCTCCGAGTCAGGCATCCAACCCAGCGTGCCTTGTTCTCGCTGTGTCGGCACGAGTGTTACTTTGCCACAAAAGATATTGATGTCGCCTCCGACTGTGGACATGTCGCTGCGGCTCCCCCAGATGCACGTTCTGGGTGGCGTTACATCTGGAGTTTTCTGCCGCCTCGCGACATCGCCGGCGGGGCAGGCGGTCGTGGCGGTGTCGGATTAAGCGAGTGCGGGGCCTGTATGCGCATCTGTTCTAAAGGGGCCATAAATTTATTTATTTTTTTAACCGCATAAATATTAAAACACAAATGTTTAACTTGCATAGTAAAGTTATTCTAATTTGTTCATTTGATATACAGCCAGCTAATACGACAAATTGCTAACCTTAAACACACGGTCGTTCATAAAAGTTGAAGGCGGTATAGTACTATAGCAATAGAGCAAGTGCACAATCACTTTAACCGGAATTGATAGCTTGGAAGCATTTAGCTCGGGGCCCTTGAAAGTGCGGGGCCCGTAGCTACTGCACGTGTAGCTACTGCACGTGTAGCTACTGCACGTGTAGCTACTGCACGTGTAGCTACTGCACGTGTAGCTACTGCACGTGTAGCTACTACACGTGCTGCTACTACACGTGTAGTAGCTACTACACGTGCAGCTACTACACGTGTAGCTGCTACACATGTAACTACTACACGTGTAGCAGCTACTACACGTGCAGCTACTACACGTGTAGCTACTACACGTGCAGCTACTACACGTGCTGCTACTACACGTGCAGCTACTACACGTGCTGCTACTACACGTGTAGTAGCTACTACACGTGCAGCTACTACACGTGCAGCTACTACACGTGCAGCTACTACACGGGTAGCTACTGCGCGTGTAGCTACTGCACGTGTAGCTACTGCACGTGTAGCTACTGCACGTGTAGCTACTTTTGCTGCTAGGATAATCCGGCACTGCCGGCGGGGGAGGTGGTGGTGGTGGTGATGTGCGGGTGGACGTGCGGCAGTGTTGTGGATGAGTAAGCGACGCAGTGCCGCACTGAATCCCCTGGGCGCCCGTGTTTCCTGTGGTGCAGGCGGTGGATCTTCGACAGGGGAGATGGCAGTGGTGACACCACCGCGCGCGCATACCCATATAGCAACAGCATAATACACACACTCAGTGGGGTGACACATACTCAGTAGAGTGACACACACCCGTAGTATGCACGTAGGCGCTCATAAAATAAATCAGCGCACGCGTGGAACTGCTTACATACATGCAGATGGTTTGACGTGCACGCAAACAAACAACGACTTTACAGAGCCAGATATTTGGGGCGAGTGCTCATAGTGTGGTCAGCCTCACGCCCGGCCGCCTTTGTCTCCCTGCAATGCCGATCCTTGCTGATGAGCAGTCACAGAATGACGCGACCTGAACGATCTATCTGGAGGCTCTAGTCCAATGTTACTCACACACATGTGCAACACACACGCACACGAACTTAAACATTCCTAGAGGCGAACGCGCATCTACTCTGATTGATATTCACCATTTAAGCTGATTCTCATCCACTATCAAAGACACGCAAAAAAAGACAAAGATCCCCCGTATAGCCTTGACAGACTGTTGGGGCAAGTGCTGTTAGCGAATAGCACCTATGAAGGCAGAAGCGGCATACGAGGGGGGGTGGGTGGCCAGCACCGCGCCCGGCCGCCTTTGTCTCCCCGGTGGTGATGTTTACACACCGCAACAGGTACTCATTTGAGGCTGAGTCGACGTAGCAGAGGCCCCATGACCGGTTCAGATAATCGTCACCGGCGTTGACCGTGAGCGGGATTCGAACCCCGGTCGCCAGGTTCGTAGAGCAGCGCGCTAACCGCTGCACCACCGCTCCCCCCACACACACGTTCGCACACACGTTCATACATAAATCAGTAGATACACACACACGTACACACACAAATGAACACACATGCACGCACATGAATACGCACGCATGTGCACACTGCCCACTACAAAACCACATCAACGCCATCAACACCGACGACGTCGACGATGATGATGATGATGGAGAAAGAGGCGCCGTCGGCTGTAGCGAGGATGGCATCCGCCACACCATCTGTGACGTGTGACGGTAAGTGTCAATGTTACAGTCACGCCAGAGGTCAATTGCGAAATGAGACCCATCCCTGGTCTCGTGAGCTCTGCCCTGGTTAAAACAAAATGTACTTGGACCCATGTAACAGCATCTCTATGTATCCCTATGTGTATCTACAGGGCCTCCTCTACGTACGAACGAGTTAGGTTCAAGAGGTCTGTTCGTAAGTCGATTTGTTCGTAAGTCCAACTTTACTCATGTCGATTCCAAACATGTCGTACGGCGTGTATACTCAACACTGGCTTTAAAAGTTGTGTAATCTCCTGTAGGTGTAGATGCCACTGGTTCTTCATGTTCTGCATATGTAGATGCCACTGTTTCATTACGTTCTGCAGATGTAGATGCCACTGCTTCTTCATGTTCTGTAGATGCCATTGGTTCTTAAGGTTCTGCAGATGTAGATGCCACTGGTTCTTCATGTTCTGCATATGTAGATGCCACTGGTTCTTCACGTTCTGCAGATGTAGATTCCACTGGTTCTTCCTGTTCTGCAGATGTAGATGCCACTGGTTCTTAACGTTCTGCAGATGTAGATGCCACTGGTTCTTCATGTGCTGCAGATGTAGATGCCACTGGTTCTTCACGTTCTGCAGATGTAGATGCCACTGGTTCTTCACGTTCTGCAGATGTAGATGCCACTGGCTCTTCATGTTCTGCAGATGTAGATGCCACTGGTTCTTCACGTTCTGCAGATGTAGATGCCACTGGTTCTTCACGTTCTGCAGATGTAGATGCCACTGGTTCTTCATGTGCTGCAGATGTAGATGTTACTGGTTCTTCACGTTCTGCAGATGTAGATGCCACTGGTTCTTCACGTTCTGCAGATGTAGATGCCACTGGTTCTTCATGTTCTGCAGTAGTAGATGCCACTGGTTCTTCATGTTCTGCAGATGTATATGCCACTGGTTCTTCATATTCTGTAGATGCCACTGGTTTTTCACGTTCTGCAGATATAGATGCCACCACCGCCATCTATTGCACGGCGGTTGAACGAACGATTCTCTGTCCGTACAGTGGCAACTGGACGTACGGTCAGGTTTGTTCGTATCTCTGAAAGTTCCTTAGTCGAATGTTCATAAGTAGAGGAGTCCCTGCATATATTTATGGATGTCTATGTATCTCTATGTGTATCTATGAGCCTCTGTGCACTGTATCTCTCTACATCTTTATTAATCTCTGCGAGTCTCTATGTGTATCTATGAGCCTCTACGTATCTCTCTATATCTTTATGGGTGTCTATGGATCTCCGTGAGTCTCTATGTGTATCTATGAACCTCTACGTATCTCTCTATCTCTACGGGTGTCTATGGATCTCTGTGAGTCTCTATGATTATCTATGAGCCTCTACGTATCTCTCTATATCTCTACGGGTGTCTATGGATCTCCGTGAGTCTCTATGTGTATCTATGCGCCTCTACATATCTCTCTATCTCTACGGGTGTCTATGGATCTCCGTGAGTCTCTATGTGTATCTATGCGCCTCTACGTATCTGTCCGTGGGTGTCTACGGATGATCTCCGTGAGTCTCTATGTGTATCTATGCGCCTCTACCTATCTCTCTATATCTCTACGGGTGTCTACTGATCTCCGTGAGTCTCTATGTGTATCTATGCGCCTCTACGTATCTGTCCGTGGGTGTCTACGGATGATCTCCGTGAGTCTCCTCAATGAGTCCTCACAGCCGGCTAAACAAATTCAAATCGCAGGCGACTGCGGTGGCGGCGGTGGCGGCGACGAAGATGAAGCGGCCGCGGCGGCGGCGTCGTGGCCTGGGGCCGCGTCCCCGGACAGCGCGCGTACCGGCGGCAACCCCCTGCTGCGGGCCGTGCAGCTGGGCCGCCTGCGCCTCACGCGCCTGCTGCTCGACGGCGGCGCCTACGTCAACGAGAGCAACGACCGCGGCGAGACGCCGCTCATGGTGGCCTGCCTGACGCGGCACGCCGACGCGCAGAGCGCCAGCAAGGCCCGCATGGTGCGCTACCTGCTGGAGAAGAAGGCCGACCCCAACATTCAGGTGAGGCCCCAAAACTTACCGGTGTGGTCCCAAACATACCAGTGTGGTCCCTGGTGGCCTGGGGGGGAGGGGGGCAGGGATGGGGGGGGGGGGCCTTGCTCGGGGTCCCAAGAGGCCGGCGCAGATTTTCGCTTGTAGTTTGCACGAGCGGGCAAAGTGGGGTCACCTTGGCGCTTCCGATCTCTCTCCGTGGGGCCAACAACGGTGAATTGTGCGATGACCGCTTGGGCGTAGTTAATTCTCTCGAAGCCTGGCCACACAGATAGAGCGGTGCCGCCAAAGTTTACTTTCACTGATCTTTGCTCCGACCCGGGGGCCTCCGGGGACGTCGGCAGAGGTGGCGATCCGGAGCAGCTAAGCTGCTTGGCGGCGTTTCGCACCAATTCGACTCCCCCTCTTTGTGAGCACCCAGAGCCCCGTGGTGTACCGATTCGCACGCCCTCGCGTGGTACTCACACACGAAATAGTTGAACAAAGTCGTGGGCCTCCCGATGGGTCAACTCGGCCAGAAATTGGTACTCGTTACGCCGTGCGAACGTCATCACCGAGGTGGCAAAAGGCGTCCCAGGTGCGGTGTCAGCCACCCGCGCCATTGCGCGGCCGTGTCCGGCCATCGTCCGCGCGGCCACCGTTCGCTGACGGCGCTCGCCCCCGACGGTCCGCTCAAGTCCTCACTGGGGGGGACCTCCGTCTCCGCGTACCGCTCGTGCAGGACAAGTGCGGCCGCACGGCGCTCATGCACGCATGCTGCGCCCGCGCCGGCGCCGAGGTGGCGTCCGCGCTGCTGGAGGGCGGCGCCGACCCCAGCGTGGAGGACCGCTCGGGCCGCTCGGCCCTCGTCTACGCCATCCACGCCGACGAGCCCAGCACGCTCAAGGTGCTGCCCGCCCCTCCCCCGTGCCCACCCCCGTGCCCACTACGAGTGGCACCTCCAGGCGTTATACGATGCCCACGTGCGTGCACTCGTCTGTGTGCGTCTGTGTGCGAGGAGCGCCGGGCGGCTGAGACGAAGCGAGTTGGCATGGTACGGGGGTACGGCTGGTGCATATGCCGGTCGTCTCAGTCGGTCAACCCACGGCACCTGCTGGGTCTGTCCCGTGACCTTCTGCCAGCGAGTTTTCGACACTTCACTTGGCCTCAAAGTGCACCTGGCCTGGCACAGGCACCGTGATGTCACCGCCACTTAGTGGCGATTGGCGGCTGTGTTGTTGTTGGGGAGCGGTAGTGTAGCGGTTAGCGCGCTTGGGCTACGAAACCGGCCACCAGAATTCGATTCCCGTTCACGGTCAACACCAGTGACGATTATCTGAACTCGTCCTGGGCCTCCCCTAGGTCGACTCAGCCTCAAATGAGTACCTGGTGCGGTGTGTAAACATCGCCACTTGGGAGACAAATGCGGCTGGGTGTGATGCTGGCCACCCCACCCCCTCGTGTGCCGGCCTTCATAGGTGATGCTTGCTCACAGCACTTTCCCCAACAGTCTGTTAAAGTCTGTATGGGGGATCTTTATTGCGTGGCCTTAATAGAAGCAATATGATAGGCGACGACGTTTCGGGCAGTGGCCTTTCTTCACAGACCTGATTGTAAATGTTTTACAACTCAGGGCTCCGGCATGGCCTTGCGGTAACGTGCTCGCCACTGGTCGCAGCCGTTCTCGGTTCGAGTCGAGCGGCCGCCCCGATTAACACTGCGGTGAGCGCAGTGTGAACCGTACGAATGCGGCACACTGGTGGCTGCACAGGGGACGTTAAAGACCCTGCGGCGTCATTCGCAAGGCGGAGGCCGCGTTACTGTGCCGGCGTTAACGCTCCATAAAATTGTCCAAACTTGAAAAATGTGACTGCAAATTACTCGGTTGTGATGAGGTCGCGATCATCGCCTCCTAAAGCCAGCAAACACCCGCAATAGATATTGCGTGAGAACGACAGACAACGGAGAGCATTTTTTGTTAAAAAAATGTTTTAACGAAATGTCGTTTTGCACGGCCAGTAATAGTTTCGTTGAAAAGTTATAGTTTGGAAACAAGCAATCGTCAGTTTGAACAATGATCCAATGTCCGTATTTCTCCAAGCATCATTGCCGCTGTAACAGTTGGAAATATCAGAGAGCACATACGGGTGCCCGATTGGGCAATGCAAAGTCAGAAAGAGAGAGTGGGACTGCAGGCCATTCCCCGTCCATCCAATGGTGGAGCCAGGATTTTCAGGTAGGGGAGGGCAACCCCTCCAGCAATGAAAAATGATAGAGGAGTTGTTAGTAAGTAAGGACTTGTCCCTTGCTTTATATTCGACGCGTGTGCGGCGATGGCGCAGCTATCGATCGAGGGTCGAATTCGAACCGCGTTGTGTGATCGGCATCGCGCTCGCTGAAGGTGAATGCCTTCAGGGAAGTCGTGTACTGTATACGCAACTGCGCACAATTCTGTGAGCCACTTATAACCGCTTTGCCGTTACTTATTGCCAATTATGGACTCACGACTATTGTCCTATCATCTCATAGAGTCCCTGGCATGTAATAATATGCTACACAGTGGCAGTGGGGGTCGCAAAATGACAATTTATTACTAATTATTACTAATTACGGATTTCTATCGGATCATTGGGAGGGCACGTGACACCCCCCCCCCCCCCCCCCCCACTGGCTCCGCCAGTGCATACATCCATAAGGGAACGCAATTTATTCGGGAATGCAAATCTCCATTACACGCGGGATACCCTCCGAATGCGCCCGCATGATTTTGAGGCCTTGAGGCCACGGCGTTGTCTCTTAATGTCCACCATCCGCGTACCCCCCCCCCCCCCCACCACCGCCTCGTGCGCAGGTGCTGCTGGACGCGTGCAAGGCGAAGGGCAAAGAGGTCATCATCATCAACGTGACGGAGAGGCTCTCGCTGCCCGGCGACAAGTCGGCGCCGCGCTACCTAAGCCTGCCGGGGCTGCCCGACGCGTCGTACGACGAGCGACCCGCCTGCGCCTCCCCCTCCGACGTCGAGCTCAGCACCAGCCCTTCGGCCGCCCGCTCGCCAGCACCCGGCGAGACGGAGCCGCGACAGCCGCTCCGCTCGGAGGAGGCCGCGGCGGAGGCCGTGGCTACGGCGAATGCGGTCGCGCCGCCGCCGCCGTCGTCGCGCGACGCCGACCCCTTCTTCAGCTTTGCTCGCGGCGCGGCGTCCAACTCCGTCGGTTCCGGCGCCGGAGCCACCGGTACCGCCGGTTCCGGCCTCGCCCAAGAGACGCCGTCTCCGAGCCGGCGCCGAGCGGCGCCGCCGTGCAGGCGAGGAGGCGGAGGCGGGAGCGCCGGGCGCCTGTCCCAGCTCAAGCGCCTGCAGTCCGAGCCTTGGGGCCTCGTGGCACCGTCGGCGCTCGTGAAAGCTGAGGACGGCGGCGACGGCGGAGGAGGGGACCAGCGGTCGCTCGACGGGCGGACGGGCGACGGGGCGAGGGCCGCCGGCGCTCACGCCGGCAACAGCCACTCGCCCGTAACGGCACGGCCCAAGCGCCCACTGTCACGGCAGCAGAGCGTTGACGCGATGGTGTTGTCGTCGCCGTGCGAGAAGGCCGGCGGCGTCACGCTTCTGCATCCTCAGCCACCGCCGTTGCACCATCACCACCAGCAGCAGCTGCAGCAGCACCAGCAGCTGGGGAGGAGGAACACAACGCCGGTCGATTGGGACGAAAGCCACGCTGGCGCTGGAGGTGCACACCGGCCTCAGCACGAGAGGGCCTCTCCCTGCGCTCTGCCGCCCCACGGCACGCTCGGAGCCTCGCTGCGGTGAGCGTCGCCAAGCGCCGGCCAGCGTCGGCCAGCGTCGGAAGCTCGCGAAACGTCTGCCGCTATGGACGTCCGTCTGCCCCTGCGTGCTCGTTAGCACGACGGACATCCAGCAGCGGATTGACGAAGGGGCTGAAAATGATTGATTTGTAGTTCATTGAGCGATTGTTTCATCGCAGAGCCAAAAGCCACTGGCATCAGTCAAATACTCAGAATTGCTCGATGATGCTGGATGCAATTACCAGCGAAACGTCGTACTCAAATTGTAAATGTTGCGGTTTCACGCTTAAACATACCGGTGGGCTAAAGTAGTAAACTATTTGTCTTTTATCAACGTGACACTTTTTTACTGATTGGCCGTGTCGGGTGGTGGAGGGTTACGACACATTTATAAATAACGCGATCTAAACCCAAAAACGTTGATTATGAATAATATTGGTCGCGAAAGCCTACGTGTTAAACTGATCAGTAAAATACCTCTGGTTGGGAAACCACACGTTAACACACACACACGCGCGCGCGCCGTGGAATTATGCAATCATAGTAGCCTCGAATCGTCATAACGTGTGCGTCGAGCCAGCGGGTGCTCATCGTGTGCAATTGCACGCTGCGGGTTTGCAGCGAGGCCGCGAGATTTGAATCTAACGCCCCCTGGTGGGAATGTATCGGGAATTTACCCCCACCCCGGCCCCCCCCACCGTGACAAGCGACCAGTGTGGGTTGCCCGCCACCTTGAGGTTCGTGGTGACGATGACCTCGAGGTATTTAAGCGGTGGGTATTTCCACCTTTTGAACAAAAATAAGCATTATAGCTCAGTGGGATTTACCCGGTAAAATGTCAAAAAAAAAATTGTGAATTTCTTACGTTTACTATAATATGCTCATAGGATTCCTCCTCCAGATATAAATAAAGATTCTGATTGGGACCTTTCCTAAGACGCCTTCGCCAGCGTTGCAGAGTCGGCCGATATCCCCCTCTCTCTTGCTCGAGGGGCTCCCGAGGGCTGCCCCAAGTGGAGATATAAATAAAGATGCTGATTGGAGAACGCTCGAAGTCTCTAACCGGCGTCGTTATTGACGAACGTCACGTGCGGTTTCGTCGTCGTCGTTACGAATCTCATGGCACGACCGACGAACCTAAACTCGTAGTAAACTATTTTTTGGGGAATTGCACAAGCTAAGGCCCACTGAGCTATTGCAGCTCTTTTTTCAGAAAGCTCAACGGAAGTGGCTTATCATCATCATCATCACGTGGAAATTTATAGCGGCAACCGAATACTCTAAATGCGAGATGTCGATTTTAAATGTGGAGGGGAAAATCGGAGGGCCTGGAAAAAAAAAATCCAAGGGGCCACGGGGAGAAAGAGAGAGAACACGGAAATTTCAAATATACAGCAGGCGTCAGGGTCGAACACACAACCTCCTCATAATCAACGATTTTTGGGTTTAGATCGCGTTTATTTATAAATGTGTCGTAACCCTCCACCACCCGACACGGCCAATCAGTAAAAATGTGTCACGTTGACAAAGACAAATAGTTCACTGCTTTAGCCCACCGGTGTGTTGAAGCAACAACATTTACAACACACCGGTGGGCTAAAGCAGTGAACTATTTGTCTTTGTCAACGTGACACATTTTTACTGATTGGCCGTGTCGGGTGGTGGAGGGTTACGACACATTTATAAATAAACGCGATCTAAACCCAAAAATCGTTGATTATGAATAACATTGGTCGCGAAAGCCTGCTACGTGTTAAACACAACCTCCTGTATACCAGGCGAGCTAGTTAACATCTCACCCGTGTGAGCGCATGCAATTTCAGCAGCATTGATTCAGTGCAAGCGAACTGCGGACCAATTTCGACATTCGACGTCTCTAATACTAATAGGGGTTTTCCACTTTTTTCTGGCAACAAAACTGGCACCTTTTGCAAGGAGTCATGTTTACATTAACCACAATACTTGCAGTCAAATGCAAACAAAAAACAATACTCTTGTAATTTATGCATTGTCTTTGAAACTGATTAGTCCACACCAGAGACAGCTTTCTTTGGAGCCTCGTCTCATATGGTGTTCGACCAGATGACGCCAAAAGGCGCACAGTTCAATACAACGCACTACCAGAGTAATGAGGGCTCGGGGTGAGCAGCTACATCATGGGACCTCTTTGCCAGTACCAAAATATACTAATAGGGTTTTTCCCCTTTTTTCTGGCAACAAAACTGACACCTTTTGCAAGGAATCATGTTTACATAGACCACAATACTTGCAGTCAAATGCCTCTCATCAGCAGAGCCAGGCTCACTCGAATCAGCGGCGGTGAACAGACGAGGCAGATAGCATCTCGCCGCCGCCGTCCGTGACCGCCTGCGCCGTGGTTGCGTCCGCAGGGACCTGGTGCACCGGCGGCACCTCGGGGTGGCGGACCACCAGGAGCACGACGCCGAGACGCAGGCCCCGCCGGGGCCGGACTCGGCGCGCTGCCTGCTCGAGCGGCGCAAGCATAACACGTCGCCGCTCACGCTGCTCACCGGCTCGCGCGAGTCGCTGCACGCCGACAGCACCTCGCCGCTGCTACTCCGCAGGTACCTCGCCTCCGCCAACAGACAAAGATCCCACGCGACCAACACCACCACCACCACCCCTCCACCCGTGCAGCCTTGAATAGACCGTTGGGGCAAGCGCCGTCGGCGAGTAGCGAGCGGCTGTGAAGGCCGGAACAGAACACGATGTGGTGGGTGGCCAGCAGCACGCCAGATCTGCCTTTTGTCTACCCGGCGGCGATGTTTTTACGCACCGCACCAGGTATTCATTTGAGGCCGAGTCGACCTAGGTGAGGGCGGGTTCAAATAATCGTCACTGGCGTTGACCGTGAGCGGGAATCGAACTCGGGTGGCCGGGTTCGTAGCGCAGCGCGCGAACCGCTGTTATTGTAACGTTATAAATTGTATGGCACATTTACATTTACGCAATCCCCCCCCCCCAAAAATAGGTTTAATCGTGAATAAAATTGGTCGCGAAAGCCTACATGTTAAATAATAATCATAATGCTACTGTAATCTATACCTCGATTTTCTGGCTGTTGGCTGGGCTCTTCTCCACCACCCCAACGATGACTCCGTCGTTAGTGGCGGCTAATCTGGCGACACCGAATATTCCGTGTAACGAATGAACGTTGAGGAGTTGAGTTGAAACGGCGGAAGAGGAGGAAATTTGGGAGAAAACCCACGAGTTATGAGGGAGCAAGAACCTCCGCTTATCACGGTTGGCGACGTACGGTGCGGAAGAAGTTCAACAGACATTCGTACGTAAGTTCATGAAGGGGAGGAGTGGAGGTTTTAATCTCTCACCGAGCATTACCGCGAGCCTCGTCCGCGACTCCATCCTTCATCCGGTCGGCCCCGTCGGGCGGAGGAGGGTGCACGACACACGCGCCGACCGCCGCGCGTGGAACCGTCTCTCCGTCGCGCGCGCGCGCGCAGGCACCAGCACCCGCCGCTGGAGCGCCGCGGCTCGGGCACGCTGCTGCTCGACCGCATCTCCCAGACCCGGCCCGGCTTCCTGCCACCCCTCAACGTCAACCCCCACCCGCCCATCCCGGACATCGGCGGCAGCAGCGGCAACATCCACGGCGGCAACGGCGCGGCGGGTTTCGCCGGGCCGAGCCGGGCGTCGGCGGGGAGAGCGTCGTCGCTGGCGCCCGGGATGGCCGCGCACGCCTTGCTGTGCCTCCCCGCTCGGCCCGTGGGCCTCTCGCTGGCCTCGTCCGCGTCGGCGTCCTCCCTGGCGTCGGCGTCGTCGTCTTCGGCGTCGCACTGCTCCCCGCGGCGCGGCGACGCCGGGGGCGGCGCGGCGCCGGCGGCCGAGGGGGGCGGTGCCGTTTTGGGGTCGCGTCAACCCAAGCGGCCCCTCGTGCGGCGCCACTCGATGCAGGTGGAGCAGATGAAGCAGCTCGGTGGCTTTGAGGGATTCTGCGCCAAGTGAGCGGGCCGGGGTGTCGCTCGGTTAACCGCGAGACGCCACCGGTTAACCGAAAGGCGCCACCGGTTAATATGGAAGTCGCTGCGTTAACCACGGTTCGCTTGGTTGACGATGATGGCTTTAAACGGAACTCACCGAGCAGCTAGATTTGTTTTTGTATAACTATGATTTGCTCAATTAATCGCACTGCATCGGATTAACTGGAATTTACTCTTGACGGCACTTTATATGGATCGATGACCTGGCATTCATGGGGAATTGCTCAATCAACCATGACTTGCCAATTTGACGGAGCTCTACCCGATGCTGCATTAAGTTAAATAGTCTTGACTGTGCTTCACTTGATCAACCACAATTCACTCAATTTTTGCTGTAATTTTTATTTTTAGTTAAACATCGCTCACCTGACAGCGACTCACGCCCAAGCTCTCCGCGCTTGGCTCGTTAACCTGCGATTCACTCGGTTATAACGGGCACCTCCCTCGATTATCCGCGAATCACTCGCTCGGCTCAACCCGCGGGGTATCATTGTAGGTCCTGAGCGATCACTGCTGCTGCTGCTGCTGCTGGCGCTGTCTTGGGGATATGGCGCCCCGATGCTGTGAGTTTAATCCCAAGCCATGGGGCCCACTCCGTCCCCATCATCATCATCATCCAGCATCGTGAACAATTTTAAGGGTCTTAAAATGAGCTGACCACTTTGTGGGAAGTGAACGGTGGTTGTCCCACGGCCAGCAACAGACAGTACCGTTTTAAAGTGTTAAAGATGAGAGTCTAACACATTTATTGAGTTGAACAAGGTTATTAGAAGAATTTGGGATCAAAAAGAGAGACGGTGGGTGGGTGATTCCAAAGTGCAGCGGTGCAAGGGAAGGAGCAGAAAAAGAAGTGAGGTGACCTGCAGTGTGGTGAGTGAGTGAGTGGGTGAGTGAGTGGGTGGGTGAGTGGGTGAGTGAGTGAATGAGTGGGTGAGTGAGTGGGTGGGTGGGTGAGTGAGTGAATGAGTGGGTGGGTGAGTGGGTGAGTGAGTGAGTGAGTGGGTGGGTGAGTGGGTGAGTTGTTGTGACCTGCAGTGTGGTGAGTGAGTGAATGAGTGAGTGGTTGTGACCCGCAGTGTGGTGGGTGAGTAAATGGGTAAGTGGTTGAGTGGGTGAGTTGTTGTGACCTGCAGTGTGGTGGGTGAGTGAACGTGTGAGTGAGTGAGTGGTTGTGACCCGCAGTGTGGTGGGTGAGTAAATGGGTAAGTGGTTGAGTTGTTGTGACCTGCAGTGTGGTGGGTGAGTGGGTGAGTGAGTGGTTGTGACCTGCAGTGTGGTGGGTGAGTGAGTGGGTGAGTGAGTGGTGAGTGAGTGGGTGAGTGAGTGGGTGAGTGAGTGGTTGTGACCTGCAGTGTGTTAACCGAACGCAGTATGGATGAGACGAAACAGCCAGGCCGGCTCCCCAACATGGGTGGAGGAATCTGGTGCTGGAGTAACGTGGAATTTCCAAATTCAAAATCAGACGGCTGCCACTCATTACTCGACTTAGCAGGCAGACCCTCTGATTTCACGCCGACACCAATAGCTGGCTATTGACTGGTGGGGTAAACTGTGGTGGCCTTTATGGCGCGGGAGCACGTTGCACACTTACATACCCTTCATCGATCCACTGCTGGATTCGAACTTGCGACGTTGCAACTCGGTCGAGTGCGCCGACAACCGCAGACGGCCGAGTGATCAACGACAAAGTCCACGCTCCATCGCACGGCGAGATAGCCGGGGCTGTACGCTACGACGGCGGTGGCGACGTTGTCGTTGTGTAGTTATGAGGTCGTGCCCCTGATGTTGCGTTCGGACCCTGGGGGTTGGTGGGCTGCCGGTGGCAGAGGTCGCAAACGGGTTTTGATTCCTTACCCGTACCTGTACCCGGCCGCACCAGCGTCGCAAATGGGTACCCGTACCCGTACCCGGCCGGGTATGGGTAGCCGTTCCCTACCCGTACTCTACCCGAAATGAGTGACAAACGGTTACTCACCAGTGACTCACGGCCTACCCGTACCCTTTCCCCTCCGCACCAGGGTCGCAAACGGCTACCCGTACCCGTACCCGGCCGGGCACGGGTAGCCGGGTATCGGGTAGGGTACGGGTATCGGGTACCCGGTTGCGACCTCTGGCCGGTGGCCACGTGTCACGACCACAACGCCGTCGCTGCTGCTGCTGCTGCAGGGACCCTCTGCGGCAACTGCCTCTGTGTGGCACTCGGGCGCAGGATTAAGATTTTGTAGCTCCCCCCCCCCCTGGGCTGGGCTACAGGAACTGTGAGGGCCCCCTCTAATATTTTCAAAAGGGAAATAAGGTTAAAAAAAATAACATTATTTTTTTTACAAGGCTAACGACAAATACAATTCGGCATTCACAAACGAAATCACTTTTCACGTAATCTCTGGAGGTCCTCCAGCTGGTGTAGGGCCCTGGGCTGCGGCCCCTAAAGCCCCGTGCCTTGATCCGGCCCTGGTGGCACCCACCGGCAAACGCGGGCGATGCTGCAGCTGCTGCTGCAGCTGCTGCAGCTGCTGCGTTTTCTCCTCCAACCGCCACCACCCCCAATTTTGAGTCACTCGCGAATAATTTCTCACTTTGCGCCGTGACGATGGCCGATGTTTTTTTCGAGCGCCGTCGCGGGATCTTGAACGTCCGCTGTGAATCAGACGGCGAGCGCACGAAGCACGGCCGCTGTATACCCGGAGCGTTCAACAGGGGGGGGGGGGGGCGAAGGAGGTGGCCCCTAGGCTCCGACCGCGTGCCAGCACCACGTGCTCCACGTCGCCTGCGGCGGTCGCATCTCTTCATCCGGCGGTCGCCGTGCTGTCGAGATGCGCTTCTGCGGCCGTCTGGAACGCTCATTCGATTCCCACGTTAGGAATCCACCGGTTTCGTTTCTTTTACAACTGCTTTTTTGTCACGTTCAGTTGTCCTTCGCCCCCTCCGCCGCACCTCCGATTAGCACGGCCGGCTAATGTGTGGTGCGAAATAAGTTCAACATGTGTGCTCGTTTGTAGCTCTTTCGTTTGGCCAGATCTACCTTTATATCTCGGTAAAGCAGACCTCTGGCACCAGCCTCGATCACCACCACACCGAATCCCAACCCCCTGGGGCGTGGCTCGGCACAGTTTGGTTCGCGGCCGCGAACGCCGACCGCGATGAACACGACTGGGACACGTCCGCACTCAGGCGGCGGCGGTGACGCCGTCGCACCGACCGGTATTACGCGCGGTGAACGTGCCCCTGGCCCTGCTTGGCCCCACCGCCCTCCGAGCCAGATCGAGACATCTTCCTTGATCTTCCTTGTGAGAGGCCGGTTTGGTTCTGGCTCCATGCGACGCTGGAATGGCTTCGTCTGTTGCCGGAGTCGGACGAAGCGCTGCAGGAGCCTTCGTGAGGGGCCACGGATGGCTCCGGGGGCAGCCGCTTGAAATGCCACGTGTCACGAGGTCAGGACAAAGCCGACTTGTTATGACAGTCGTGAGCAACTGATGTTCAATGTATTAAAATGCCCACCGCAATGGCTGCTCATATGCACACACCTCCAAACTTTTCCCCACATTAGTGTGGGCAAGGCTATAGGTATGATCATATTCTGTATTAATACAAATACAATATCAGTATATACATATATTGTGGTTTGGTATATATATATAGTTATTGCACTTACATGCTATATTTTCAAACACCCGCTCTATATTTCACGACATATTTACAAATTAACTTCTGAGTTAAAGCACCATGTTGTAAACTCTATTGTGTTTGTTACAAATGTTATAATCATATCTCGGTGGCTGTGAAAACAAAACCTGGAGTGGATCGTACTGACAAAGTCTGGTGGTGGATCCTGGATTGCGTCATAGTATTTATATGTTATTCAGGCAGCACAGCAAGTGTGGACTAATTTATATCTGTCCCGTCTGTGTGGGATCGAGCGTTGCGCCCTCACATGCAGCAGGCTTATCTCTGGGTGCTCCGGTTTGCCCCCGCATGTATAAACACTCATCATTAATCAGCTGAAAACATCTTCATTCATAGAGGACGACAGAGCTCTGGCAATTGCTGACTTCCAGCCTGGTCTGGTGGCTCCGTGGCGATCGTGAGAGAAGCAAATTTCACACGAACGATGCCATCGAAACAACAGTGAGTCCCGTGATTACGCAGAGGAGCGCCGCGTGGTATCGTCACGAATCTGGCACCACCGCCGTGCCGTTCGCCGCACAGCTTTTGTCGGACGAGCCACGATTTCAAGTCCGCTTCGTTGGAATTTCTTGGAACGAAAAACAAATTTTCCATTGAGCTGGAGGGGGGGGGGGGGAGGGGTCCCCACCCAAGCGATCGGTTGCGCGCTTTGGTTGCAGCGCAACTTGAATGCCTCGGCAGGTGAACGTCTCTGCAACCAGTTGGCGAGGCGGTTGCGTGCACGACTCTCAAATTAACTCCAGATTTTGCTCGGCGATCTGCGTTGACTCCCCAAGTTTTTTTGAACTCCCCAAGTTTTGTTGAACTCGAGCTCGCCGAGAAATGAGGCCAACTCGAGTCCCACTAGAGTCGTCTGCACATTGAAACGAGGTCCCTCGCATGCACGTCCTTGCGACGAGCACAGGGGCGGTCCGTCCATAGAGGCGAATTAGGCGGTAGCCTAGGGCGCCAAATAAGTGGGGGGTGTAAATTCGAGGATAAAAAAGAATACAAATGAAAAAAATATACAAATACAAAAATACAAATAAAATGAAGGTACTCTTTGGTTCTTTCAGGTAAAGTCACGTAGGTAGAAACATAATCTAATGATCTATTATTTTTCTACCTACGTGACTTTACCGAAAAAACAAAAGAGTATGGATTCCTGCAGTTACGAAAGCTTCAAATAAAGATTAAAATGAAGATGTCATTATTTCAATTCCCGTGCGCGTACAGATGGAATGTGAATTATAATTCGTTTCTCAACACTTGAGAATTTATTGGTTGGACAGACGCAGGGACAAACCGAATGATTATGCCTGTTAAAAAAAAAACGCTTAAAAGACATGAAACAAAAATATGGGCTAATTATTTCCCTATTTACCAAAAAACCTCAGCCGAGATCCGCCCTCGGGGTGTCGATTGCATGGTTAGTCGACGGCGCCAGTTGCTGGCAGCTAAGCGCCAAGGCCGCCCCTGGACGATCAGTGCACACGCGGCACCACGATGGCGTACAGCTCATATGGTGACACGTTTCTCCAAATGGACACGATTTTTGTTTGCGCTTGAGCAATCAATCGCACAAGTGGCGGGGCAATGCTGCAAGGGTGCGGCCAGACGCGCTGTAGCCACAGAGCCCACACGCCTGAGTCGTCCTTCTAGCGTAACTGCCCACTCAGAAGTGGACAAAGAGGTTGGATGGTTGAGCTAAGGTTAAACTCAACTTTTGATTGCACCTGGCACGGCCAACCGAGCTGCTATATGGCCGCTTTTTCAAGAAGCGATCTGGCCACAACTGATAAGCGTAACGCAGCGGCTTATCGTGTGGAAATGTGTAGCAGAAAAATACTCTTTAAGCGCATGCTGATTCTAAGTGCGGAGGGAAAAACCGGAGGACCCGGAGAAAAATCCACGCGACCACGGGGAGAGAAAGACACGCAAACTCCAAATATACAGCAGGCGTCAGGGTCTGGATCGCACCCACGACCTCCTGCACACCACGCGAGGTTGTTAACGTGTCGCAAACTGTTGAAGTTGCGCGATTTCGAGAGCGACTGTGAAGGAAGCGTGTAGTCGAGAGAGATAGAGACAGGCGAGAGGCGGGGTGAGCCAGTATTGTTTTACCGCACTGGGATTTGAGCTAACCTCTTGTGGCGTGCATCTGTAGCGCTCGCAGCGAACCGGGAATCATTCTGTCAGGCATGGCTGGTATAGATGTCGGTGA